GCCATACTGTCTTACATCTTTCTCATCAGTTCTTGTCATATAGGGAGTTCTTACCTATGTAATTTGTTTTGGGGTTTATTGTACGTTGCCTTATTGAGTTGATTTCAAATTGTTCTTTATTCTTGTTTCATTAACCCACTTTCCTATTTTTTTAACTAGTACCAAATAGTTTTGATTGTTGCTTTATAATATGGTTTGAAGTCTGTAAATTGTATTCCCTCTTTATTCCTATTTTTTTTGTTTCCCTTGATAATCTGGATTTTTTTTGTTTTCTCAAAATATTGGGGTTTTTTTTGTCTCACTTAATAAAGTATTCCCTTGGTAGTCTGGTATAGCACTAAATCTGTATATTACTCTAGGTATTATTTTCATTTTTATCACATTGCTGTGGTATCTTTTAAAATCATATTGGTATGGTTATGTTTTGAAAAGTATTCCATAATTCCCAAGAAATATGAGAAAACATATAAACTGATACAAAGTGAATTAAGAAGAACCAGCATAACATTATTTTCAATGACTTGCAATAATGTAAATGGAAAGAACAACAAAGACTGGATGCTGTGTAATTATATAATGACTGTGCTCAGCCTCTGAGAAGGGTTGAGAAAATGTCTCTCTTTTCCTTCTTGGCAGAGGCAGGATTGACTTTAAGGGTGTGAACACTGTGATAGTGATTGATGTACTTTTTAGGTTTTCTGAACTGCATTTTTTTCACTTTCTTTTTTAATCTTATATTACAAATGATGGTTCCCAAGGGAGGGGATGTGAATATATTTGGAAATTAAATTTTAAAAATTTTGTAAAAGCAAAATATCAAGAAAAAATTCAATTAAGAAAAGTGTTCTGTTATTTGGACCAGCCTTAACCCTAGATTAGTGATGTTTTGCTTTGTATTATACAGAGTCATCTAAGAAAGCATGAGCCTTTTTGATAAGGCAGCTCAAGTTTATTTTCCATCCTTGGAAATTAACAAGACTGGAGCTCAGTAGATTTGAGTTTTGTTCTTGACTTCACTGCTTCAAACATTCCCATGCCCATTGTTCTGTACAAGAACTATGTAACTTTTAAAAACATAAAGATAGCCCCCTACCCTTAAGAAGCTTATTCTTTTTTTGAGGGGGGGGACAAGGCAGTTGGGGTTAAATGACTTCCCCAGTCACACAGCTAGTAATTGTTATGTGTCTGAGTTCAGATTTGAACTTCCTGATTCCAGCACTGGTGCTCTATCCACTATGCCACCTAGGTACCCCCTGGAACTTACTCTTTTAAAAAAAAAAAAAAGGTGGTTGGGTTTTTTTTTTTAAGTAGTAGGCAAAGATGGGTTATACAATATTCCCTCACCATCTTGTGTTAATTTTTTTTTGTTGTTAGATGCCAGGAAGGCTTGTAGAAAGATGGGGAACATACAGTGAATTAAAGGTTGAGGAAGTAAAGACAGAAGACCAAAGAGAGCTAGGTAGATGAATAGTGGCTTGACACAAAAGATGGAGAAGCTATAAAGGGCGTGGAAGGAAGCAATGAATGGAGGAATGGCTATAGAACCTACAGAATGTGTTTAAAAAAAAGATAACTTACCTAAAAAAAAAAAATATAAGCACCCGCTCTTTGTTCTAGGTCAGAGATGGCCTAAAAAGTGTCATAATTAATGGTGCTGCTATATTTAAAGTAATTTTCTGTTCTTTGAAAGTTTTTTTAAAATGTTAATATACAGATAGGAAATGTTATTCTGATCAACATAATAAATCCTACATGTTAGAATTTTTTAAAACATGATTGCAGACCTTTGTCAGTGACACTTTGGAAAGTAAGTTGACTACCTTTTCTCCTAGATAGTCTGTATTTCTTCTGCTCTTGAACACCTGGAATAGAAGTATACCCCTAACATAGTTTTTCCTTGGGATTGTCTCTAGCTCTGACCCTTCTTTCCTCACAGACCTTTAGTCATTTATTAGAATTAGCTTTCATTTTCACTTTTATTCCAACCAAGGTGTTGGGATGAAATAAAAATACAGATGAGTTATATTTTCTGTGAAAACCAGATTTACCTCATTTATGGCTTTATGTTTTAAAAAAGAAAATAGTAGGAGATATTGAAGTTGGGAAAAATAATATGAGGGCAGAATGAAAATTCAATCTGTAAATTCAGTCTGTTTCCAAGGTGACTCTTTGGATGTTGCTTTCTTTCCTGTATAATCAATGAACAGAATTTGGTTTCAAACTGTTTAGATGCAATTGAGTGCTTCTAACTTCAGAAGTGCTTATAAGGCAGCTCTCTAGGATATTTACATGATTTAGTAATAGCAACAATTAGTGCTTTGGGGCTACGTTGGCCTTGTCTGAATGTGAAAGCTGTGTAGGAATTAGATAAGCTGTCAGGTGTTGCCTAAAAATGGAAGGCTATATTGATCTGACAGGACCCTGATTGACAGTGAGTCTTACAGCCAGCCCAAGGCAACCACAAATCACAGAGCTACCATTTGGGGAATTCTTTTCTTCTCTCTTAGTCAGTTGTTGCTAGTAAGACCCTCCTTGGAAAGATAACCTGGGTTTTAAATCAGTGCTAACCCATGTGGTTTGTATTTCAGTTTTTGTGGTAGCCTCTGCATATTCCCATTGTTGAATCTCATGTGACTGCTTGAGATGATTTCGGTGGCTTTGGGACTGATGAAGTGAGCATCTGGCCTTGTTGTGTATGTAGCCAAGGTAAATTGCTATGCAAGTTTCAAGACTTTAGATCCAGATAAACCAGCCAGGCCTCACTTTTCTTTTAGATGAGTAGTTCATAAGCAAAACCGAGCTTTGTGTTTCCTGAGACTCATGAGATTCACTTACAGCCTTCACTGATAGTTGGCCAACAGTATTTCTTGAAAACTTACTGTGTACAAGGCATTGACCACGCTACTTAAAGCATATAGAAGACAAAGGGGAAAAAAGTCTAAGCTCGTAATCATAGGATCAAGAGTCAGAAGGGCCCTTAGAGATCATATAGTCTTTTTAAAAAATTATCTTTTGTTTTTATATTACTTTTGTTTCTGAATGCATATCTGTCCTTTACCTAGAGAATGATCTCTTAAAGAATTTTTTAAAAGAGGGGAAAAGCAGTTTAGCATAACCAGCCAGAACATCAGCCTGGCCTAACAATGTACGTAGTGTTCCACTCCCATGCCCCACCCCCACCCCAAGGGAAGGCTGTGCACTTTCTCTTGGGCACTATAACTAATTCATTCAGTTTGTTTTGGTGGTGTTCTTTCCGTTTACATTGATGTAGTCATGGCATGGGGGGTCATCCCAATTCTTTTTATTTCACTTTACGTCTTTCATAGAATTGTTTTCTTGCTCCTCTGCATTCTTGATGGTCATGGTTTCTTATAGCACTGTGATATTCCATTACATCTCATGTCTCCCAGTTTGTTTAGTCATTCTCCAATTTATGGCTATCTACTTTATTTCCAGTTCATTTCCGCCACAAAGAAAAAAAAATGGAACTGTGGATATTTTGGTGTATATGGGACCTTTCTTTCTTTGACCTTCTTGGGCTATGTGCCTAGCAGTGGGATCTCTGATTCAAAGGAAATAAGCATTTTAGTAACATCTTAAGCATAATTCAGAATTGCTTTTCAGCACCAACTCACTGCTCCACCAACATTATATTAGTGTGTCTGTGTGTTTGGAGCTCCTCCAATATTGAGACCATCTAGTCTTAATGTGATTAAATAAAAACCCTCACTTTACAAATGAGGAAGCTGAGACCACATGAGAGAAATGACTTGTCCAAGGTCATGTAGGTTACTAAGTAGCAGAGCAGGATTCATCTTCTGAAAGACCAGGTCTCCTAACTACAAGTTCTTAAAGCAAAGAATACAGGAATGTAAAGGAGGAGGAAGTGTGGTATTGATAAATATAGGGTCCTTTCTCAAGAGTAAGTACAGGAAGTGAAGACGGCAAACTAGACAGATTTTGCCTTCAGTGCTGTTGTTTCAGGCTTTTGGAGGTGGTGGTCTTGAGTCAACAAAGTTGTCGGCAGATCTTGTCTTTTGTAGGTGAAGTATTTGGGAATTAGAATAGGAAGTAAGTGTATTTTCATCATCATGTATTGCAGTCCTGATGTGTGCAGGACACTTTAGGCATTGAAGGTAAGAAGTTAGGAGAGATGGTTCCTGAGTAGCCAAGGGGCTAGTTGAAGAGTCAGGAAACCTACTTAAATAGCAACACCTAAATTTCTAGTTTAAAGAGATAAAAGAATATTGAGCAAAACCAAAAATAGCCGGCTTATTATTTCCAGATTTCAACATGCAGACTGCAGTTTGGGTTCTAAAGAAGTTTTAAGACAGATGAATGATAATCTCTTTCCCTTCCATTAGCAGTCTACAGTATACTAAGTTTCTATGGTTTGTTTTGACCCTAGATTAAAAGTTTTAGCCATAAAAATTTTTATATCTCTTAAGGACCATTGTCACCTTAAGTCAAGCAGGAAGCATAAGGAATCCAAAGACTATTTAATTGCATATCCTAGAAAAACTGGGAAGATTAAAATTGTTCTCATTGTGTTAATAGGCTAGTCAAGGTTAGGTGCAATACGTTAATTTTTTTTAGATTAATCAAGCTTTACTGCTTGATTACCAATGTGTAGGCCCTTTTAAAATGTCTTCAAAATACTTTGCTATCTCTATCTTTTAAGATGATTGGATAAAAGCAACTAAGTTCCCCCAACTGTTACAGGTAGAAGGCTCACCTGCATGGCTTGTTTGAGGAAGAGAATGGAATGGGGAAATGGAGAGAAGTTTAAATTTCCAGGTCACTGAATATCAGAATTAACCAGTTAAATCCTATGATCCCCATATTCTTTTCTAGGAGTCAAGGTGTTTTTCCCTATTGGCATTCCTTTAATTCTTGGTAAAGAAAGAATTGTTTTGAATTGTTTGAGTAGGTCAAGGATTGGTATGGCCTTGGTGTAATTCTGAAATAGATTCATTTTCTTTTCATTTTATTTCTTGCAGCATGTATTTGATGATCTCAGTGGCTCAGTATCTCTGTCATGGGTTGGAGATAGCACTGGGGTAAGTATCCTAGTGGTCCTTTGTACAGTGTGGTTAGCAAACATGTTCAGTTTTAGGATTTTAAATCTTGTATGTCATTTTGTGACACTGTTTTTAGAATTTTTCCTTATTTGTGGAAAATTCATTTTGTCTAAAGTACAAAATAACAGGGAGCTATAGTATTTATTGTCTCTGTAGAAATGGAAGAATGGAGTGGTCAATTACTCAATTCTTTTGCCTTCAGGATGTCCTTACCTAAACCAGCTTTCTGCCTAACATTAAAAAAAAAAAAAAAAACACTACAAGTTTCCAACTTCAAAAATGCTTTCTTGAGAACTGATTATATATTTTGAGACTGCCTTATTCTTGGAAGATGGTGACTTTAGCAAACTCAAGGTCTGTGACCAACAGACGTCAGGCTGGTTATCTTCTGGGTCCTGGAGACTGCTTAAAATTAAAATGAGTAGGCAGAAAGGGAAACACTACGTTGGGGAAACCTCCAGAGAAATGTGGATGTTGGGAAAGATGGTGAGATGGAGTACCTGGGTCTCACTTCTCATATCCCCTGTCTGTATGGCACTCTTCCGCATAGTAAGTTATTAGTCAACCTCTTCTGCTGAATAACTGTTGCTACCTGTTTGCAGTCTTGGTCATCAGATGCTGCTTGATATCCCTATCTCAAGCATCACGGGGATTTTCCAGTACAGGCATTGTTGTTAGACACTGGGAGCAGAGAGGTAATTAGCAGTACTTCCTCATTCAAAAGACCAATACTTAGTGTCCCCTTTTTTCTCTGTGCAATGGTAAACTGATTTTCCCCAGTGATTCTAGGTTTCCCAACCTGCCTAATACCTGTCCTATAGTTGTAGCACTCTCAGTGCCCACTGTAGGTATATTGGCTTCATTATTACCCTGTCTGCTGAGAGTAATGCCCCTGTCACAGCAGTGGTATGTCCCATCAACAACCTGAAGAAATACAGTAGTATTTTTCTACAAAGTAGATAAACATTTCCCATATTAAAATCCATGAGTAACCCCGATTTCTCCTGTGTAGAAGCTGGAAACCATTCCAGCTTCATGATTTAAAGTCATCTTAAATTTTGGTGAGGCCCCACATTTGGCTCAGAGTAGCTCTTGACATGGTGATAATTTGAGGTTTAACTATTAACCTGTATTATTTACCAGTAACTGATTTATTTCTGTAATAAATCCATCCAGACGGAGTGTTGATAGCTTGCTTTTGTCTCTCTCCAGGTCATTCTAGTCTTGACCACATTTCACGTCCCATTGGTAATCATGACTTTTGGACAGTCTAAGCTTTATCGAAGGTGAGACTTGTAAGTGTATTTGAGAAGTGAATACACATTTGAATATTGGCAGTCTTGTAACTAAAAAGGACCTATTTGGTGCTCAAATCTTCACAAGTCTGTGCACACCCCCATGCTGATTGTGGTTGCCTCCCTGACAGCCTGAGAGTAGTTAACATTAAAAGAAAGAACTCCTTCCAGGGGGACTGGCTAATCCTGTGGGAGTTGGTGAGCTTGAGTCAGGAACAGAACAATAAAGATCCTATGTCTCTGGGAACTGTGCTATATGTGTAAAGCCTAAAATATTGTTTATTTTAAGGAAAAAAGTTTGAGATTTGTCTAGGTTTCTGCTTTTGTATATAAAATTCCATTCATGCAGGGTGTCCCAAAAGTCTTGGAGCAGGTTTAAGTTACTAAAGCTATTCTACCTTCAACATGCTACAGAAGCTTTTGCCTTTCAGCCATGAATGCCAGTGTCAGCTCTCACCAAGGAATCAAAGAGATGTAGCCCCACAAATGTTTAGAGGCTATCTCCGTCAAAGAATACTTAAAAAGTCATTGTGACTTCCTCTAAATCCTATTCACGATTAACGGTGGCAGCTCCTATGTGAAGCTCAAATTCCAGCCTTCTGGGACCCTGGAGAGTCTAAGTGTTAGACCTGGACCCCAACCAGTGGCTCTTGAGTAGATAGATGAGAACCTCCATTCATATTCACTCTAGAATTGTTGTTTCAGGGTCAGGAGTCTTCTTTCATAGTGTCCCTCCCAGCAGAGTGGTATTAGCTTGCAAATAATAAATACGAGTGTAAGATCAGAAAGGATTATTAAGAATTCTTAGCAATTTACAGGAAGACAGTCTGTTTTGTTTTGGAGAGCAACAACAGATTATTGTTTCTTAGGTGTAGAAGAGGACTTTTAAGATCATTTAGTTTGCTTTCCTAAGTTCTAACCAATGTGATACAAAAGAATAAGCACAGGATTTGAGGTTTGAAGACCTGGGTATATAGATCTGAGCTCTACCCCTGTCACATCCCTGGACCTCAGATCCATTATCTGTAAAATGAAAGTTTGACCTACATAACTTCTAAGATCCCTTCTATAAATCTTTGATCCTATGAATCTTCCTAAACAGAGACAATCTATATTGCTTTTTAAGAGGGTGAGGGATGAGGTTGGAGATTCTGTAACTACTCATTTCATTCTAGTGGATAACAGACCTTTACTGTCAAGAAATTTTCCCTTATGTCCATCTAAATTTCTTAGAAATCTTAATTTAGTTTTAAATTATCTAGTTTTTATTGGTCATTGAAAACATTGTATAAGTGACCTTCATGTTTGTGAAAATTAGTAAATTCTATTTCAGCATTCTCCAAATTGAGTTATCCTAATTCATCTTTATGTTGAATTGAAAATCTCATTATTTTAAATTATTTTTTAAAAAATAAATAAACAGATGTTAAGTACTTACTGTCTATCAGGTACTGCTAGGCACAGGAAAATGAGAAAGTCCTTGCCCTCAATGAATTTATGTTCTCTGGGGGAGAGGATACAACATAATCACAGAGAAGTAAATGTAGAATAGATGCAAATAAATAGAAATAGATTTGGGGGCCTGGGTGCATTCATAGCAGTGGGCATTTGAAAGCTCTTCTTGAGCTGGAATTAGAGGTTCTAGGGCCTGAAGGGGAGCATATCAGGCATGGGAGGTAACCTGTTGGAAGGCTCAGAGACAGCGGGTGGAACATCGTGTACGGCCAACAGCAAGAAGCCAATCTGACTAGCGTGTTGAGCTCCTGATGGGCAATAACATGTGATCGCCCTGGAGGGATGGGCCGGAGCAGATGCCAAAGGGCTTTCAGCACTAAACGAAGGGCTTATCCAGAGGCAGCGGAGTGACTGAAATTTGTGTAGGAGAATGACATAGTCAGGCTTGTACTTAAGGAAAATTACTTTGGTGATTATGAGAAGGAAGGATTGGAGTGCAAGGGTACTTAAGCCAGGTAGACCAAGAAGAGTCAGGCAGCTGCTTTAACTAAGGCAAGAGGTGACAAAGGCCAGAACTGAGATTGATGCCATGAATAGAGAAGGGGTCTGATGAGGAGACCAAACCAGGGAGACTTGGCAAATGATTGGCTGTGTGGAATGAGAGGAGGTGAGGGTAGCATGGAGGTCATGTGCCCAAGAACCTAGAGGAACAGTGGTGCTCTTAGCAGAAGTGGGAAGGAGGCGGAGCTCCACCTTAGGAAGGTTGGGCTTTACCTGACACCAGCACAGTCCGTTTTAAGCTTACACTTTAAATGTAGGACTTCCCTGATTTCAAATTCAGTGCTCTTGCCACATATACCACTTGGCACTATGCCTCCACTGCCTTGTACAAGGTTGCTTTGCAGACTGGGGCTCCATTTGTTACACAGGATCGATATTAAGGTGTGGCAGAGGAAGGGCAAGGGAATGAGTTCTCTCGTTCTTTTTAAAAACAATTTTTAAATTTAGTAACCAACCTCAAAAACATTCGAATAAATACAAACCATGTATAGTACACGAAAACAAATTCTAAATTATTTATAATTTTTTGATTTTTACAAAAAATGTTCTATTTCTTATGGCCCTTTCTGTTTTTTTTCTTCTGTGTATTTACCCCCAGATTTTGTTGCTAATGTTGTTTTAACATAGTTATGATCAGAGTTTATATTCTAATTCCGACTTCTTTATTCCTAACCATTGTGTTAATTCATTGTGTAAAAATTAGAAATTTTTTCTTAATTTTCATGTTGGTCATTCTTTATGGTACAATAATAATATCCCATTATACTTGTATAATACAGCTTGTTCAGGCCAAACATTGCATTTTTCTACCTCTTCTGTGGCTAGTTCTTTTAAAGTTTTTCCCTCCTTCATTTTGTAGTCTAGAACAGGGTCTTATATTCTTGGTTCTAACCAGATAGAGAACATAATGGGAGAATCTCTTTGTTTTTTCTTCTTTGTGCTCACCATTGTTGTGGTTGCTTTAAAAAAAAAAAACAAACAAACCCAAATGCAATCTTAAGAAAAGACAGACAAGGATCCTTCCATTGCTGCTTAAACAATAACTGACCCAGGCCTTTCCCATTTCTTATTTATATAGTTTCATATAATTTTTTTTTACCAGTATACACTGTTCCTGATTGACTAGAAGTTCAGTTTTTCAGATATGTTGTCACTTTACCAAGGTCACTTTGAGCTCTAATTGTATCATAGAATCATAGTTTTAGAGCTAGAAGGGACCTCTTTTAGCTCAAACCTTCCTAGAAGAAACTGAAACCCAGAAAAGTTAGGTGACTTGGCAAAGGTCATACAGGTAGAGTGTGGCATTGAGCAGAGATTTGAACCAAGTCCTCAGTTTACAAATTCAGGGTTCTTGCCAATCTGTGGAATCCAAAAAGGACCTTTAAGAATTCCCACTCCAACTTCCCAAATTGATCTTCGTCCATTATTCTCCAGTTAACTGGTTATAATGCCGGGTTGTGGGTTTTTTTGGGGGGGGGGTTGTTTTGGTTTTTTTTTCCATTTGTTTGTTTCGTTCTTTTGCTGTGCCAAGTTCTTAAGAAGTAGGCTGACCTGAATCTCATTCAAATAGGTTTTTTAGGTGTGGCCTAAAGGAACAAAGTTTTAAAATCAGTGTAAATCATGCCATTGCAAGGCTGTAAGGCTGTTAATGATTGCATTATGCAACAACCAAGAACTGTTTAACTCGTAAATGTAACTAATCCCTAGATCCCTGCTTCTGAGTCCCAGCCCTACAAGGCTAACATAGGAATTTGTTTGTTATACCTATTCCCCTACCAAGCACCTTTTATCTTATCCTTATGTTATATTGATAACAAAGACAATTTCAGATCTCTGTCTGCTCCAAAGGAAAGGGAAAAGAAGTATAGATAATACCCAGGCATGTGTATGTGTAGACTGGTAGTTTCGCCCATTGGAAGGTAAAATGATTCCATTTCTGTCTTTGTATCCTCTGTGGCAGGCAGTTTTTCTTTTGGGAGGGGTCTACATCTGTGATTCCATCAGTGTGCTGAACTGCTGTAGGAACTTCCTCCCCTTGACACAGATCAGCAGCTCATCCATAACTTAGAGTACTGAGAGGTTAAATGATGGGACCACTGTCACCCAAGCACCACGGAGCACCAGCCAGATCCTTGTGGCTCTCAGGCCCAGCCTTAGTACACCAAGAGAGGCTGTCTTTTCAGGTGCTTAATAAGAGATGTTGAATGGTGGCTAGAGTCAGAAATCAACCACATAAATGCACAGATGCCCATTTTCCTTTCCCTTCAGTTCAACATATATTTTCATAGATCTTGCCCAGGTAGAAGAAGACCTCAAGTTGTAATAAATGATCTCATATAAATCAAGACAACTCAAGTCTGGATTGAAAGTCTTCCATTTAGTTAGAAATTTGATCTTGAACAAATGACTCAACCTTTCTGTTTCTCAGTTTCATGATCTGTAAAATTAGGGAATAGAACTAAATTTTTAAGGTCCCTTATAGCACTGTTATTTTATAAGTCTTTTCCTATAATGTCATTCATGGAATATTTACTTCTGTGCCTAGGGTTGTACTATTAAGCCATTGAAAACTACTTCTTAATTACAGACTAGTTACCCATTGGTAAGAGCCTAAACTTTCCACCAAAAGCTTAAATTCTATGAAAATTAGTGATCTCATATTCTGTAGCAAGACTTGAACTGAGGTGGTAGTCATATTAATAAAAATAACCTATCTTTATAGCTTCTTTTCAGGGTTTTCAGATTGCTTTCATCATAAGCTTCTGAGCAAGTATTTACTTCCCCATTTTACATAGGAGCCTCAGAGAAGTTAGGCAATTTGCATAAGATCACTCACTGGCTTTTTATTTTCCCTACTTACCTGTTGGGAGTGTTGTCAGAATGAATATCTAACTTTTTTTTTTTTTTAGGCAATTGGGGTTAAGTGACTTGCCCAGGGTCACACAGCTAGTAAATGTCAAGTGTTTATCCACTGCACCACCTAGCTGCCCCAAATATTTAACTTTTTTAAGTATTTTCAAAGTTAGCACACTCTAGAACTTTTGTTTCTCTAGCTGTATTCTTTCTGCATTATAGGATTATAAAAGCCTTTGAAAAGACTTTTTTCCAACCTTGGGTTGGAAAGAAACTGTTCTAAATGATTTTGTTTTCTGTCTCTCTCCTCCTCATTCAGTGAGGACTATGGAAAGAACTTTAAGGATATCACAAATCTCATCAATAACACATTCATTCGGACTGAATTCGGAATGGCTATTGGACCTGAAAACTCTGGGAAGGTTTGAGTCTTTGCTTTCTAATACTGAAGTATACACCTTATAGACTGTGCCTAGGCTGGCAAGTTTAGTTATTGTAGAAATCCATTAATACAATAGAAAACTTTCATATAAAGAGTAAAATGTCTGATTTTATAATGAGTTTAATATTATATGAATACAGTTGAACCTCAGTATAATACTATTCTCTTTGTAGTTGGTTTCAGAATAAAGAAGGCTCTGTCTAGGATGAAATTCCATCCTAGTGGGTTTAATTATTGAAGTACCAAAAGACTTTTATTGCAAGGCAGTTTTGGCTATAAGTTGGTGCCACTGCATGAACCCACCATAGACAGCCTTTTAGTGAGAATACAATGTAACATCTGAAGACTGACATGACTTAATTCACATTTATGGAATGCTTAGAAATCATCCAAGTAGTTCTTGATAGTTTCAGGTTTGTAGATGCACACACATTGTAGCTTAAGAACATAAAGGAACAAGTATACAGATTTAAACCTGTTGCTTTTTAGCTTTCTTCAAGGTGTTTTCTAATGCTTGCTTGTGAACTCAGATTGTTCTCAGCTAAACTCTGCTGGAAGTTCTCATTGTGTTGTTGTCAGATTTTATCCTGATCTGATGATTCATCTTCTCTTCCAGGTGATTTTGACAGGGGACGTATCTGGAGGAAGTCATGGAGGAAGAATCTTTAGATCATCTGACTTTGCAAAGAATTTTGTTCAGACAGATCTACCTTTTCATCCTCTGACTCAGATGACCTATAACCCGCAGAATTCTGATTACCTTTTGGTTGTCAGCTCTGAAGTAAGTCAGCCAAGTTTTACATGTTTATGGGCTCAACACAGATAAACTGAAAAGGGTTTTCTGTATTTAATTATTGTTCTTGTGCTGAACTTCCTACTACAGACACATGAGGGTCTGAAATAATGTAGTTCTATCTTTCTCCTTTCTTATGAAATACACAGTTACCAAGTGCCCCATTTCCCCTAATTTGGGACAGAAAATGAAGATGTCTCTTAAACTGTGTTTTAGAGTATGTCATGGTAGATTGGCTTTTTTAAAATTTCTACAAGTATGATATTTACTGTTAAATTCTTAAATCAAGAAAGAACTGTGTTGTATTAACAAAGAAATTAAATTCATTCAATCAAGCATTTATTAAGTACCTATTATCTGCCAGGTTTTATACTAGGCTTTGGGGATACAAAGACAGAAATGAAGTAGTCCTGCCTTCAAGGAGTTTATATTCTATTGGATAAGACAAAATGTGCATATAAGCATGTACAAAACAAAAGGTAATTTCTGAGGGGAAAGGGACCAGCAGGTGGAGGGAGTCAGGAAAAGCTTCATCTAGAACAGAGGATCTTTACTTTGTTTGTGCCATGGCCCCCTCAGGCAGTCTGCTGAAATCTGTGGACCTTTTCTCAGGATAATGTTTTTAAATGCATAAAATAAAATACATGAGATTAAAAATGGAAGTCAGTTCAATTGAAATAATTATAAAAAAATTTTTTTTAAAAATTTACTTGTTCCAAATGAAGAACTGCTCATTTAGAAAGTTAGCATTTGAACTGAGTTTTCAAGAAAACTAGGGATTCCAAGAGGCATCTATGAAGAAGGACTATATTCCAGACATGGGGTGCCTACAGTCTGGCCAAAGACTGAAAGGAAGGGATGAGAGCTCTGTATGTGAGGAGCAGCAGGGAGGCTGCTTGGGCTGGGGCATAAAGTGCTTGGAAGGCAGTGATGTACAGTAAGGCTGGAAGGAGCTGGGGCCTGGTTATGAGGGGCTTGAAAGTCAGAGTTTGTGTCTGATTGCAGAGATAATGGGGAGCTACTAGGAATTATGGAACAAGGGAGGGAAGTGGTCAGATGTGCACCCATGTGATGGCTTGAAGGAATAATACCTGAAGTGAGGACGCCATTCAGGAGGCGACAGTCTGAGTGAGAGGTCATGAGAGCCTGACCTAGGGTGAGGACCAAAGAGAGAAGGAGACAGGTACATGCGGGGTTGTGGGGGCAGCTGAAGGATGAGGAAGGTCAAAGAGTCTTTTTTTTTCACTCAGATTGTACAGCTGAGTGACTTCAAGGATGGTGGTGCCCTCAACAGAAATAAGAAAGTTAGGAAAAGGGAGGGATGTAAGGAGGGTGGAGTGAATAATGACTTCTGTTTTGTGCATGTGGAGTTTGAGATGCTTACAGAGCACCTAGTTCAGCATTTCTAATAGTTGATGATAGAGAGTTGAGCTCCTGAGATACTGGAGCTGAGTACGTGAACCCAATGAAGCCGATGAGGTTATTGAGAGTATGGAGAGAAAAGAGAAGGCCCCAGGCTCTGGCCTTGAGGTACCTGTACAGCCAGGGCCCTGATGATTGCTCAGGGTAGACCAAGAAGGGGTGGTCATATAAGTGGGAAGAGAAAACCAAAAGAAAGCAGCCTCAAAACATGGAGGCAGCAACAGTAGAGAGTTTTTCTAGGAGTTTGGCTGTGAAAGGAAGGATGGCTATAGGCTTATCGTTTAAGAAAATAGTGGAGTTAAGCAATGCTTTTCTTTTAAATATGGGGAGACTTGGGCTTGTTTACAGGCAGCCGAGAGGGAACCAGTAGTGAAGGAGAGACTGAAGATAGAAAGAGGGAATCAGTGATTGTGGGAGTGTGGGAAGGTGAGGAGACCAAGGGTACGTATAGACTGGTTGACAAGGAGAAGGATCACCTCTTCGTCAGAGTCTACCAAGTATAAAGGGGAGCGTGGATGTTAAGATAGGGGAAAGAGGGAGCAAATAGCAGATGGCCACTGTTCTCACAGCAGAGGAGTGGAGGTGATGCTATGGAAGGCTTGAGGAGAGAAAGAGTTTGGAGAGAGGCATAAGAGAATTGCCTTGCTCCAGGAAGTACCCAGTTGAGATTAGTTAACGTAATTCTGTAGTGGACCCACTTGGCCCAGTTGCATGACTTCCTTCAGCTTTGTTTGCCACTCTCTCTAGGGAATCTTATTAGCTCCTATGAGTTCAGTTGTCTCTGTGCTAATGACTCCCAAATCTGTATATCATAGTCTTAAGATCTTCCCTCAACTCCAGTTGCAAATCCCCAGCTGTCTGCTAGATACCTTCACCTGAGGTAGGTGAATTCGTTTTTTCTCCTTCCCTAAACCAGGACTCCTCCAGACTTTCTAACACCCTTCCATTCACCCAGGTAAACTATCTCTGAGTCATCCCTGACTCTTCCTTCTCTGCTATCCCTCATATCTAATCAGTTGCCTGGTCTTGTGGATTCTGCATCTTTCCTATCTTGTCCCTTTCTCTACAGTTCAGGTTCTCATCTCTTACCTCCTTACTACTGTGGCAGTTTCTTCCTTGGTCTCCCTTCTTCTCATCACTCCTGTCTGATGGGTTCTCCACAGCTGCCAGAATTGTCTTCTTGTGGCCCAGGTCTGACCACATCACCCACTGCTCCACTCAAAATTCTGCCATTTTCCTTTGCTGGGGATATAAAATACAAACTACTTAGCACGGCGCACAAGGATCCCCCAAACCTGGCTGCCACCTGCACTCCTAGCCTTAGTCCATTCATATTGCTCCCCTTCACGCCCTCCACATTCCAGCCATATTGAACCCCTAGACACATTCTCTAAACTTTGCACTTTTATCTGCCACCTTTCTCGATACTCATCCTTTGTGCTCCAAGCCTCAAAATCCCTGTCTTCCTTCAAGGCTTAACCCTGGTACCACACCTCAGGACTAACTAGGCCTTTTCATCTGCCCTGCAGGGAAAGCCCCCTATAGATATGTATTATCTCCCCTGGTTAGAATGTGAACTTCCTGTGAACAGGGACTTGTCTATTTGTAAGTATCCCCATTGCTTAACATAGCCCTTGGCACGTAGTGCTGAATAATTGCTTTTCCATTCCATTCTCTTCCTCCTCACCCAAAGTTCCTTGAAGGTAGAAACTCTCATTTTTGTGTTTATATTCTCAGTGTCTAGCGCAGTATCTTGTACAGAAGAGGTGCTTAATAAATGCTTGTTGAAGCCCTCAGTGAGAGAATACTTCAAATACAGATAGTCTGTAGAAGTTCATACCAGTTAATGAATTGGGGTAGAGGGGAGGAGGGCAAAAAAAAGGAAGCTGGAGTCACTGAAAATATTCTGCCTGTGGCTGGTTCAGATGTCAAGAGGCACAGGAAAACCAAATAGCTTGTCCTCTTAGCCACAGTCCAGTGCTGGGCTTTCTGACCAAAGGTTGTGCCTCCAGCTGGCTGCCTGGGTAGACCTTGGATTAGGCTAACAGTCATTTGTCATCTTTCAGAATGGCCTGTGGGTATCGAGGAACTTTGGGGGGAAATGGGAAGAAATCCACAAAGCAGTATGTTTGGCCAAGTGGTGAGTAACTAACTGAGGGTGACATCTCTGTTTGCGTGTGTGCGTGTGTGCGTGCACGTGCATGTTTGTGTATGATACAGAAGTGGCATATGACTAATCCATCCTTTGGAGGGGGCTTATGGTCTAGTGAGGGCAGCTAGACTCATTATTTTGACTTATACAGCAGAGGATAAGCTATTCCAGATACTTCACTGAGCGTGTGAGTGTAAAGTGGAAGAAGTCAATGGGTGGTCAGCCTCTGTTTCTTGGTGCTCTTCATACCACTGACAGTGAGGCTAGAGCCTCGTCTTCATCACACCCACAAAGAGTCCGTTCATTCTACTTAGGCTGGTAAAGCTAAGGAGACAGACAGCCTTGGTCAGCCTTCCTAATATCCCTGGTCAGTAGAGGACCCTGCTCTGTCCTCTTTGACTTTCTCTGCTCTCTCTTCTTGATGAAGCAGAAAGTTCTGTAGTCATGGGATCACCCAGCATGCAGAAGCCTCTGTAAAAGCACCTTTTCTATAATCCTCAATATTCCTGTCAGACAAGTCTTACCTGTTCTGTTTGAGTAGAGGTCCTGCTTCCTTTCTGTTCCACTTAGCTGAGATCATGAAAAATAAAATAACAGCTTATCTCACACAAAGCGATACAAACTACCTTGTAAAGAAACTGATCTCTTTCTAGCTGCAAGTGTGTAAAGGTACTATACTGTGCTTTAGGTACAATTAAAGAGATTTTCAAGGGTAATTTTCTTTAAAACCTAATCTTCACATAAAATGCAAATCCACTGCACAGTAAACTATATACTTCCATCACTCGTAATCAGTGAAATGAAAAGAGACCAGATGGGGATTCAAGAGACCTGGGTTCTAATCCCAGTTCTGCCACGAACTGTCGAACCTTGAGCAAATGACTTTATATTTGGGGAACCTCACTTTCCTCTTCTGTAAAGTGAGGGAAGATTAAATTGAGTTGAAGATACTGGACTAGATAGCTAGGATTCCAGTCACCTCTTTGAATCTTATATTATTTAATCTCTCTGGGCCTCAGATTTCTCATCTGTCAAGTGAGGGGTTTGTATTAGAGGCTAGTCTTTTTCACCTTTTATGATTCGCTGGCAGGAGAGCCTTCAGGACCTTGCTAAAACTGTTCATACCCCTTTTTTCTAGTTATCAGATTTCCCAGCCCACAGTAGGTTGAAAGAGAATGGTCTGTGAGAGGCAAGTATATTGACAATAGGAAAATGTGATAATTGTTATATAACTTAAAAGACAGAAAACAGCAAATACAGGAACTCAAAGTATAGCAATCAGGGATCACATAGTATAAAGGTGAACAGCTTTATACAGCTCAGTAACCAGTAAAACCATCAGTGTTTCTGCAACATGATACAAGAATTGAACATGTCAAAGAAGACATTTTCTGCCTATTATTTTAGAAGACAAGAATATGTATTGATACGTTTTAGAAAGATTTTGATTAAGCATGGCTACAAACACAAAAGACTTTGATATGCACTTAGTTTCTGGCAAATACACTTATAGACCATCAAATTCCTTTATGATGCTAAATAAGAATTAGTGTATGCACATTCTTCTTACTCTCGTAGTATAACCCTAACCCTGATTCCAAGTAATTTTAAAAATTACAAGTAGTAGACATTTTTAAAAGCAGCTAAATGATGAGGAAAGGGATTATCCCTTCAAGTTAAATCAGATGCTGGCATGCTTGCTCATTCCTAATCTTTAAAACCAAAGTGCTTTGTGTAATAAGTAAAATGAAATCCATTAAATCTTGTATCCAGTGCAAGGATTTCTCTCTTTTGTAGTTATTTCTAAGTTCAGTATTCCAAACTTGTGAATGCCTCATACACTGATGATAGCTGCTTGCTAACTTCTTGTGGTGATGTTTTTGTTTTTAATTTTGTTTTACTATGAACCTAGCCTAAGCAACAAATACAAATAAATAAAATGTGTAGTATAACCGTAAAATGCAAACTGTGGACATTTTGATGAAAATAGAAAATTTATTTAACAGAAACTTTGAACAAACCACCCCTGGTATGCTTTGTTTTGTTTTCTGACCTCTCTTGTGTTTGCATATTTATAAAGTTTTATTGCTATTTTTGTATAGTCATAGTAAAGGTATGTGTTCTCATTCTTTCTTTGCTTTAATTTTCTTTCCTAATTTTTAAAATCTATTTCATATTTGCCATTTTTTATGACTTTGTAGTACTTGAAATCAGCAGTTGTCAAACATCATCTACTGAGTTATGGAAAGGCGGCAATCTCTGCCAATGGAGATAGTATCCACACCACCAAAATGACAGATTCTTTAGGTACTAAAGTATTTCATTAATGTTGATGTGCCGCAGTTTATTTAGCCATACCCCAGTGCTTGGACTACTCTGTTTCCAGTTTTTCACTCTTTCTGAGCAAAGTTTCTATGAATATTTTTGTATGGATAGGCAGTTTTTCCCTTTTAATAATGTGATATGATAATCATATGGTCAGTTTTTGTACCTTTGATCACTCTGGCCACGTTGCTCTTGCCATAAATCAATTTATAGCCCTACCAAGACTATAGTAGACTGCCTGTTTCCCTGTAACCCTGCTCGCAAGAATTTTTTGTTACTTTACCAGTTTAATGAATATGTGATGGGATCTTAAAGCTGTTTTAATTTACATTTCTATGATTCCTACAGGGTTTGAACATTTCTTGAGTGGGTTTTTTTTTTTAATATTTCCACCTTCAAAAATTGGCCTTTGACCATTTTTCTATTGGAAAATGGAAGTTGTTTTTATGGATTTGTATCCTCACTGGTTCTTTAGAGTTGAGATGTCAAATTTTTGTCAGCTGTATTTATCACAAAGATTTCTTTCCTTTCTTCTTTTCATTTTCAGAACATCTACTTTCTGTCAGTGCTTCTTGTTGTTCATTTGTTTCTGTCGTGTCTGACTCTTGGTGAGTCAGAGTTTTTTTTAGCAAAAATACCGGAGTAGTTCGCCATTTTTCTTCTCCAGCTCATTTTACAGATGAGGAAACTAAGGCAAATAGGTTTAAGTAGCTTGTTCAGGCTCACACAGCTAGTAAGGGTCTAAGGGCAGATTTGAACTCGGTTCTTCCTGACCCCAGGCCCAGTGCTCTATCCACTGTACCACCTAGCTGCTCGTGCCAGAACTTACTAACCAAGTTTTGTCTGCTAGAAATTATATAGCTTTTACTCCCAAGTAGACAGGCTCAGATCTAACACCGTCTTTTCTATGATGGTCTCTAAGTGGACAAGCTGGATTTCAGTCTTGTACCAGTAAACTGAAACTCCAGGTAATTGGTAAAAGCCTTCGACTGAAGTCACATTAGCACTACTTGTTAATGAGTAATTCTACTAAATCTTGCAGCAAAAGATTTATGTGGACATAAAATTATAATTTCCAATAATTCATTAATTATGAAGTCCTTATTCGACCTCACACTGCCACCCTCAAAATATTTGTTCATCCCTTTACATGGACTAGCTTTTGTTGAAGTAGGGTCATCAATGTGTACCCTTGGCTAAAGTCTTTGTTTCAATAGAATACCTTAGAAAGACAGATCATCTGTTCTCATAATCAGCCTATGACTAATGCTGGTTTGCTGTCTTTGGTGGTCCCAGAACATCTGGGGCTACATTTTGCATCCTGATATTTTGATACATCTTCTAATTTTTAGCTCGAGGAAGCATGACCGTGCATGACATTTCCTCCAGATAATCTCAGTAACTTCCCACGCAGGCTACCATACATAAAATTCAAATACTATTTCAACACTCTGGCTAACTTTCACATTCCTCTAAATTTTCACCTTTCTGGTTAGATACATTGGGCTTATGTTCAGTGTTAATATCTCTTGACGCTACTCTTTGCAAAAGAAGAATCTCTTGATCGTGGACATGGGCAACTATTGTTAAGATGAGAAAGTTAATGGATACTTTTTTGAGGCCTAAGTAGGTGCATAGGTCCACATGGGGCACAGCAAGGGGTACAAAGAGGTGGCACCCATGTTTGGGAAACTTAGTGTCCTTGGGGAGGGAACACGTGAGGATATGAAGAAGAGATGCCAGGCTCTGGAAGTACAGACACAAAGATAAACAACAACCTTGCTCTTGAGAAGCAGTCCTGTCCGTGATCAAGAACAGGTCTGTGAATCTGTGGAACAGATAGATTTCAGCTGGTTTTCTGAGGGATAGATAAGACTTTAATGCTTAGGAGAGGACATTTCAGGGAAGGGAACAGGATAAACAAAAGAAGTATGCCAGCTACAGTGAGTTGATTGAATTTGACTACAAAAGAGGTTTCCTGAGGAGGAAGAGTTGGAGATAAAGCTGAATAATAGCTTCAAGCGATTAACATTTTTGAGGTTCAAAAATAGAGGCAGTCTTGTATGTATAGTGGCCACTGGGCTTGGAGTCTAGAAACCTGGGTTCAAATCCTTCCTCCCTGTTTGCTGTGTGACACTGGACAAGACACTTAATTTTTATGTGCCTCAGGCCTCTCCCAAGGATTTATCTACTGCCTTAGAATTGCCTTGGTGAAAGGAGCCCCCCAAATGAAGGAAATCATAGATCCTTTTTAAGATTTGAAAAACTCTTCAATCTGTTATTTAACTGGATAAGTAGGTTGGGACCATTTTTGGTGGTCCCTGAATGAATTGGGAAGATGTGTTGATCATATGATCCTAGATTTTTAGTTGGAAGAGGGGTCCGAGAACTTAGCAAGGCCAAGCTCCTCATTGTATGATTAAAGAAACTGAAACACCAGGATGGGCAGCGATTTGCTCAGGGTCACACGACTAATGCATGTCGATGGTAGGATTCCAACCCAAAGCTTCCTGACTCCCGGTCCAGTGCCCTCGCTACCATCTTCTGATTGTAGAGTTGAAGGAACCTTAGAGATGTGTCCAGACTCCCTCGTTTCACAGATGAGGACACTGAGAACTTAAGATACAAAATGAGCTTCTCAGGGTCACATTAATGGAAAGGCCGGGGTGAACCAATTGAAGAGGTGGCTTTGGAGAAGCTGTCCTGCCTGAGATGGGACCTGTTAAACTCGCATCAGCTTTTTCATAAAACAGAACTGAACTGCATTCAGGCGAAGTGGGCAGCAGATTTGAACTGCAATGTTTTTCTGTCTTTGCCTTGTTTTAGGGGATCACAGAACACCATCTTCTTCACTACCTATGTGAATGGCTCTTGCAGTAAGTATGCTTCATTTCTGGAGAAGGGTATCGCAGTAGATTGCATGCTGATTCCTCAGCCCCAGGAAGCCTGGGTTCTCATCTAGGCTTTTTTACTAACTGGTTGTGTGACCTTGACTAAATCACTCAACTTGCCTGGCCCTTCTTTTCTTCATCAGTTAAATGAGGGAGTTGGATTAGCCAATCTACGTGATTCTGTGCCCAGTGGGAACCATTTGGACTGTCAGAGACAGAAACTTGGAAGAGACCTTAAGTCAGTTTGACAAACATGCATTTTTATGTGCTGGGCCCCAAAAAGAAATCAGTGTTGGCCAGAAAGCAAACCTGGGTTTCCCATGTTGCAGGCAAGAATTTTACCACAAATATATTGGTGTAAAATCTAAGCTTAATATATTAGAAAGTCTTAAACCGAATTATGGTATAGTTAAAATACTTTTTGCTGTAACATGTAGACCAGGTAATTTTTTGTTGTTTTTCGAAATGTTTAAAGAAAATGTTTGATATTTTCTGTATTTATTAATAAGAACAAATTGAATTATGTGGAAGGGCATTTTTATGGTTTGTAATAGTGTAGTTTCTTTTTAAAACATTTTATGAATGTTTTTATATCTCCTTCATTTCCAAATACATCCCTTTCCCCTCCTCACAGAGCAATTCCATGTAACAAAAAATAAAAAAGAGAGAAAGAAAAGCCAGGCCAGAAAAACTAGCTGTCACCATCTCCTGGATCTGAGAGTGTAGACGATGTTCCAAACCTGGAGGCCCCTCCCTCTGTAAAGAAGGGAAGGAGGCCCGAGTTCTCTTCTTCGAGGCTGTGATTGATCACTGTCACCATGCAGAAGTTCATTTTGTTTTGGTTTTTCCACGGGTATTGTCGTAGCCATCGTCTGTCTGGTTCTCTTAGTTCTGCTGATCTTACTTACTAAATGTAAGTTCTCTCCAGGCTTCCTATGATGACTCTTGCCCACGTACTATTGCCCACGCAAGCCGTTCTCCAGTGATTGGCACATGTTTGGGTGGAAGTAGAGCCTCTGTCGCTGATCTCCTTAGAGCGTGTGTCTGGCCTTGGGATCCCAGGAAGCAAAGATGGCCCTGGTAGTCATCTTGAAATGGTCAGATGCTGTTCAACTTCACCACTTCAGAGTGACGTGCCTCTTTTCCACCGTCACTCCACCTCTGACTGTTAAACCTTCTGTTGTCTCTGCCAGTTTGCGGAGAAGGAAGTGAAACTTCAGAAGTGGTTTTGATTTGCATTTTTCTTTATAATTGTGTAGTTTCAGAAGCAGAAGCCAAACTTTGCTGTGACTTTGAAGGATGGGGTACTTCTTATTTTGTTTTGTTTTCTTTTTAAACGTTTTAAATACTTTTCTCTCTTTTTATATCAGATCACTTCCCAAAAGCACCTTTAACCCCCTGCCACTCTCCCTTGTAGCAAATAAGTAAAGGCTAGCAAAACAAACTGACACATTGGAGACACCTGAAAAGTATGCCTCCTTCAAGGCAGCTAGGTGGCGAAGTAGACAGAGCACGGGCCCTGAAGTCAGGAGGACCTGAGTTCAAATTCGACTTCAGACCAAACACTTGACACTTACTAGCTGTGTGACCCTGGGCAAGTCACTTAACTGCACTTGCCTAATGAAAAACAAAAAAAAAGTATGCCTCCTTCCACACACTTCTGACAAGAAGGGGAAAGACATAGTTTCCCATCAGTCCTCTAAAGTCACTATTGGCCAGGGCCTTAATTAAAATTCTGAAGTCTTTCAATGTTGTTTTCCTTTAGAGACATTGGTATGATTGTCATGTTCAATTCATACAAGTCATCCCAAGTTCTTCCTAATTCTTCGTATTCTTCATTTAATATGGTACAAATAATACATAGTTACATTGCTATACTACAGTTTGTTCAGCCATTCCCTAATAGATAAGCATCTGTTCTCCTTTGAGTCCTTTGCTGCTTCAAAAGGTACAGCTATAAATATTTTTTATATGTAGGAATTTTCTCTCTTTGACCCCCTTGAGATCTATGCCTAGTTAGTGGTATTGCTGAGACAGAAAGTTTGTATGGTTTGGTGTATTTTTTAGTCCAGTTCCAAACTGTTTTCCAGAAAGGCTGGACCAGTTGACAGTTCCACAGTGCATTCGTGTGTGCAAGGCACTTTTGTGGCAAACATCAAACAGTTATTAATAAAAATAAGCACACGTGAAATGTCCCTCCTGTGTGATGATATATTACCTCAGTCTAGGCACTTGATCAATTCACACGGAGCCACCGTAGGCATTGGGTAGCTCCATCTAAGCTCAGAGCAGCCCAGTAACAGTTATATTGTACTACAAATTGTAAGAAGAATTCAAAACCACTTGAACATGTGTCATTTTGCAAGAATGTTAATTCACATTTTGTTTTCTTTAAGAAGCTGATCTTGGAGTATTGGAATTAAGAAGAACCTCTGATTTTGGCAAAAGCATCAAGACCATTGGAGTAAAAATCTATTCTTTTGGCTTGGGGGGACGATTCCTCTTTGCTTCAGTAATGGCTGATAAGGTAGATCTTTTTTTTTTCTCTTTTTTTGAGCTTCGCCATATGAGGATATTATCTCGAAAACCTTTTCTGTTTAAGGTACAGAGACTTCCTTGTCCTGTTTACATTCAAAGTCATTTAAAAGGTTGAGAGTCCAAAGAAAAGCCTTTTAGAGTTTAATTCCTCCTACATCCTGTACTTTCACTTTAGGTAATTGCCACCAAGTCAGTTGTGCCATTCTGCAATTTATAAACTCAATGTTCTTCAAATGGGGTAACTGAAAATAGCAGATATGTAATATATCAATTCAATTTGTTGCCTACAAAAATAATTTTGTTGTTGTTCTACACTAATAGCATATATTTTGATCTCTAGATTCTGTTTTCAAACCAAAATAAAATTTAGAGCAAGGTTCAAAATACTTCAATGCCTGAGTATAAGTTATTAACTCATGTCAGTAAACTTGCTGTTACTTGTCAACTAATAATAGCTACCACTTATATAGATAGCGCTTTAAGGTTCACAAGATGTTTACCATGTGTTAACTTATTTGATTGGGGCAGCTAGGTGGCACAGTGGATAGAGCACTGGCCTGGGGTCAGGAGGACCTGAGTTCAAATCTGGTCTCAGACCAAACACTTCACACTTAACTAGCTGTGTGACCCTGGGCAAGTCACTTAACCCCAATTGCCTTTAAAAAAAAACAAAACTTAATTTGATTTAACTAAGGCTTACCTAAAATTTTCCTTGGTGTACTAATCTGCCTCAAGGCTTATTCTTGGTCCTGTCTCATTGTACCTCATAAATAATGTTTATTGCATGAGTGAATGTCTACTCCAAGATCTTTACTGGAATATAGGTATTAATGACTTCTTTAACACTATCCTCTTAGCAATCAAAGCACACTTTGCTTTTCATTTCTCTCAGCAGCTGCTATAGTTTGGCAGCTTTTCTGAACTCACAGCTTCTCTGTTATCCAGAAGGATTCTCAACATGGAGACCTGTCCCATTTTTTTTCTAGTAAGAGAATGGGGAAAGAGAGGTTATCTTTTTGTAACCAGGCCCCTGAGGAAACTTCCAAAGAAAAATGTAAAGGTTTAGCCCTCCTTTAAGATAATTTACATTGGGTTTTTTAATTACTGTGTTCTACTGAAACAGTAGAAATTAATTACATCAAATTAAGGACAGTGTCTTCACAATTTTAAATGTGTTTCACTTAGCTGAAATGTAGGTCAAGAAAAAGAAGTAGCAAAGTGGATCCTAAGGGTAACAAACTTGAGGCAACGTGTCTTGGGGACTGTAGAGCTGTCCTTGGAGTCAGGAGGACTTGGGTTCATGCTCCGCCTCCGACCCCTGCTGGCTGTGTGGCTTTAGGCAAGTCACTTCATCTCTCTGTGACCGAAGCCAGGGGTGGGGATCCTGTGGCCATAAATCCCAATAAAAGGATTTGTTCTATGACGTTTGGATTCAGTCAGAGGGCTGCACTTGAGGACCTAGAGGGCCACATGTGACTGCATGTTGCCCACCCCTGATCTACCAATCCTCTGAGATTATAGGTTGCAGATAAGTTGCTGACAAATAGTAGATACAGTACAAAAAGTTAAAAAAAAGCCCTCCCCCCCCCAAAAATGGATGAGTTAAATACAGAAACCAAACTTGTTATTAAAAAAATTAACATTAAGTTGCCATATTTTTTGCCTGAGAACTGCAGCTGGTAAGTGTTTTGTGGATTGTGCTCAAACAGTACTGTCCCAAAAAGGTAATTAGGAATTTAAGTGAGTACAAACTTCTGCCTCAACATGTCATGTTGACCCAGAAGAGCACAATCTATGGCAGATCACAGAATTTGAAAATTAAAAGGGATTTCAGTGGCAATCTAATCCAACACATCCTCAGAAGAATTCCTTCTACAACATATCCAACATGTTGTCATCCAGCCTTTGTTTAAAGACTTCCAGTGGAAGGGAGGAGGGAATGGAGCTGCTGCTGCCCGAGACAATTCATTCCAGTTTTGGACAGCTCTCATTATTGGGAAGTTTTTCCTTACATCCAGCCTAAACTTAGCACTGTACTAATTGCCAGTGATTCAAAGACAAAGCAAACAGTTCCTGTCTCAAGGAGATTATAGGTGGAATACTACATTTACACAGATAAATAAGTTAAAGCTAAGGGAAGCTGAAAAGCTTTAACAGCTTGGGGACTCAGGAAATGCTCCTACAGAAGATACTGTCAGAATTGAACCTTGGGGGCAGGTGAATATTCCCAGAGGCTTAGGGGCCAGGGATTGCAGTGGAGGAGGATGAGGTAGGAGAGGAGAAATGATCTGAAGGAATTTCGGAGTTGCCAACATGAATCATTCGCAGGCAAATGATAAGATCAAGGATGTGACTGTCTCTGTGCAAGGCTGAGTTGAGTTAGCTAGTATGTGTTAGTGAGGATAAGGAAGTTGATGAACTGAAATACCAGAGTGTTGAGGTATATCAACATGGTATTGAAATTCCCAAGTGCAGAAGTAGGATTTGAGGAGGAGATAAAGACTGAACCAAGTGCTGAACTTGAGAAAGGAGAGAGAGCAACCCCAAGGGCTGGGACATTATTGTAGTGAGGATCTCAATAGGTGTTGTGGAAGGGCAGAGTGTACCTCAAAGAAGGAAAGATTGCTGAGTGTTGATGGCAGAAGAAATGTCTAGAAGTCCATGAGGAGCTAAAAGTATGTCTGTTCCTTCTGGTCCAGTGGGTTGAGGTTATGAGAAATACCTGATAGCAGAGAAGGAAACCAGATGCCCTGTTTTCTTGTATACATAGAAACCTGACCACCGCAGAAGGGGAAAGTAGTGTGAGAGAACATGATCTAAGATAAAGGAAAGTGTGTTAACAATAGAATGGGAGTTGGAGAGGCCATAAGAAAGGAGAAGGCAGAATAGGAAGGGGGTAGGGCTGAGATGAATGGAAATGAAATAGCAGGGAGCATAATAGGAGATGTGGATTTCATCTTGTGTTTGGGCTCCAAATCACAGGCATTAGGAGAAGAGGGAGGTGGGTGCTTGCTAGCCATAGGATAGGGCATTAGTATTGTTTGATTGATAAGGAAGATCTCCTGGACATCCTGCTCTTGATGCTCTCCAGTTTGTCAGAATCCTTCCTAAAACATGACACCACAGATTTGAACACGGGGCTCCAGGTGTGGTCTGACCAGGGCAAAGTACAACAGAACTCAGCTCCTCTCTTCATAGGCTTTGCCTGCCTTCTTGAGTACATGAGCATTTTTGTCTACTGTGTCACCCTGTTGACTTATATTGAGTTTCAGTTTACCAAAACCCCCAGATCTTCTTTTCCCAAACATGAACCCATGATGGTATGTGTTACCCACATTTCCACTACTCCTTTTTCTGATTGCTGGTTTTTCAGATTACTTTTTCCCTTGGGTCAGTCATTGTTCATCTGAATGAATGAGACTTTGTTCACTTTATTGTCTATGTGTCTATATACATACATGCATACACAAACGTGGGTGTGTGTGTGTGTGGGTGTGTGTGTGATCTGAGCAAGGTTGAAAAATAAATGGCTCCCTTTCTTGCAGGGTGCAACAAGAAGGATTCATGTGTCCACAGATGAAGGAGAGACATGGAGTATGGCCCAGCTACCTTCTGTGGGACAGGAACAGTTCTACTCTATTTTAGCAGCTAATGATGATATGGTGTTCATGCATGTTGATGAACCTGGAGGTGAGCTCATTTTCATTGCGTGCTCTTCAATATATTGCCATATCTGTTCAAAGCCAGCATAACTTCTTGGGGGGCAATGGGGGTGGCTACAGTATGTATGGATCTGTGATTTTGTTGGTCTAGGGAACTTCTTTGTGTAATGTGACCTTAGAGGGCTGCCTGGGGTGCAAGGCCATTAAGTCACTTGCCATGGCTTATGTGTGTCAGAAACAGGGCTTGAGCCCATTTTGTGTGAATTCTGAGGCCAGCTGTCCATGTCTCTCTTCATGCTGCCTCTCAGATTCTCAAGTGCTGATTTGTTCTTTCCGACTGATATCCCATCAGAGAAACATACTAGCTTCTCTTTTAAAAATTACCCGACACTTGCTATGGTGCTATAATGTGCTTGAGGCGCGTATGTTCATTTCTTGGGGAACATAAAAGCTTACAGATGGGAATGAAGCTTCCTAGGCCTAGTGCTGTGTGGCACCAAAATGTGTAGATGTGTATTTTGTAGGGCCTTTCACATCGTATCTGGTGAAAGGGAGTGTGTGAAGGTTTCGTGAGTGTTGCACTTCCATTGTCATTGGTCTGCCTCTCCATTAGCAAGAAGAAGGATTCTTTAGTGCTTGCAATTAATGGTGTGTTTTCCTTAACATTAAGAGATGGATCTGTTTTTCAGATACTGGATTTGGCACAATCTATATCTCAGATGATCGAGGCATTGTTTATTCCAAATCTCTGGAGCGGCATCTTTATACTACAACAGGAGGGGACACAGACTTCACCAATGTGACGTCCCTTCGAGGGGTTTACATGACCAGCGTCCTCTCTGAAGGTGGGTTATCTACATGAACATGGACACCTTCCTGTACTAATTGAAAGCCTAGGCTTTCAAGGGATGGACTCTTTAATCCCTTCAATTCTAAAGAATCTTAGTTGATATGATAAGACTCTAAAGGGAGAGGTCTTATCTTTAATTCAGGTTTGTAAGCCTTTCCTCCTTTGTCCTAGTCCCCATGTGTACTCTAGCCCTCTGTTTGAAGTAGGTTGTGCCAGAGAGGCCAAGGTGAGTGGGGAAGTGGGCAGAGCTGGACCAAAGGAAGAGGTTTGGCTGTGGTTGTCACGTTGAGAGCTTCTAGGCCTTAGGACTGAACCAGCCTGACTAACCCCACCACTATCTCTTTGAAGATGGCTGTGGGATGGAGGGGAGACAATAGCAGTGGCCCAGAGGGTTATTGTACAAGGCAGCATATTACCATAAAACTCAGTGACTCCTAGAGGTTTATTTATTTTAAATCTTAAAATCTTTCAACTTGGCAAATTTGTATATAGTAAAAATAAAAACTGGGGAGACCAGTAGGCTGTTATTTGTTAAATTGTTTCAATTGTGTCGACTCTCCATGACCCCATTTGGGGTTTTCTTGGCAAAGATACCGGAGTGGTTTGCCATTTCCTTCTCCAACTCATTTTACAGATGAGGAAACTGAGGCAAACAAGATTAAGTGACTTGCCCAGGCTCACACAGCTAATGAGTGTATAAGGCCAGATTTGAACTCATGAAGATGAGTCTTCCTTACTGCAGGCCTGGCCCTCTATCCATTGCACTACCTAGCTGCCCCTCAGCAGTTATTAGGCACTTACTAGCCTAGCAAAATGATAGACACTTGGGGTACAAAGACAAAAATAAAATGGACCCTGCTGTTAAGGAGCTTTAATTTTATTGGCCAAAACAGCATGTGCCTGTATAAGTATAATGTATGAACACAGTAAGTTTAATGGGATGGCAGTAGCACTTGGGGGATTATGAAAAGCCTTACATAGGAGGTGGCATCTGAGGGGTGTGTGCCCTGAATGATTCTCAGAAGTGGAGGTGAGTAGAAGTGGCCCCAGGTTTGGGGGGAGATGGCTCGGTGTGTTTGAGGAGGCCCAAGTTGGCTAATCTAGCTTGAAGGTGGAGTACGTGAAGAAGAATTTGAAATAAGCCTGCAAAGATATGCTGAAGCCAGCTTGCGGAACACCATGTTCTCACTTTGTAGGACTTTGTAGGTTATCCCAGAGGCAGTAGGGACTCACTGGAGCTTTTTGTATAGGGGAGTGACATAGTCGAACCCGTGCTTTAGCAATCCCACTGGCATGCATCACCCTCCCTTCTTTGCCAATAGGGAAAACTATGAATGTGGGACACGCAGCGTGCCATCAGGCTCATTTGATGTATTAGTTTTGCTGAACTGTTTTTTTCCCATCTTTTAATCTTTGTCACAAGGGATGGTTCCTCAGTAGAAGAGAGAGGAGAGGAATATATTTGTGAATAAAGGTGACATCAAAAGAGAAGACATCTATAAGAATTGAAAAAAAAAAAAAGGAAAGTCATCGGCAGCTGGGTGTGTGTAGGACAGATTGGAAAGGGGAGACAGACCAGTTAAGAGGGTGTTACACTAATTGGGGTAAAAGTTGATAAGGCCAGACCTTAGGGCAGTGATCAAATGGGTGAAAGGGGAACAGATGGGAGAGATAGGGCTGAATGAAAAGATTGGACAATTGATTAGATTTGAGGGGTGATAGAAAATGAAGAGGAGTAATTCAGAGGGTCCTGGGTGACGGGAGGAATGCAGGCACCCAGAGCAGAAATAGGAGAATCGATTCATCCTCTCTCCTCTCTGCTTACAAGGCCTCTACCTCTCTAGCTCTTAAAGTATCACAGCTGGCTTCCCAGTGGTCCTCCTTGTTTCAAGTGTCTTCCAACTCCATTCCACGCACAGTTACTAACATGGTTTCATTAAAGTGCAGTTCTGACCTTGGCTCTCGGGGGTAAACTTCAGTGATCCCTGTTAAGATCAGATGGAAAGTCTTCTTTCTGGCACTTACAGCCTTTCACAACCTGTCACCAACCTACTTTTCCAGCCTTAATCTCCTTACTCCTCTTCTTGAACTCTGTGCTCATCTGGCCTTTCTCCGTGACTCACACTCACTCTGTCCTTATTTCTTCTTCTTAGAATCCCTTGTTTCCTTTCTACATAAAACCTTTTCCTATTCCCCAAGCTGCCTTCCCCCCTTCAAAAACAGATTACCTTCTATGTAGTCTGTACATTTTGTGTGTGTTTATGCTATGTGTACGTTGTCTCTACAAGGAGAATAAAAAGTAAGGGTTTCATTTTGTCTTTATATCCTCAGTGCTGGCGCGTAGTAGGAGCTTACTGTGTGCCTATTGATTGATTAATGAAGGTAAAAAGCAGGAGAGTTTTAATAGAGAGGACAAGGGGCAATAGAGGGAGAAGACTGTGCAATTTGTTTAATTTGTAAATTGGAAATAATGACTAGTCCTAGGGAATCTTTGGAGCCCGTCCTACAAATCTGTTTGAATAAAGGTGGTTCTCCTGGATGACTTCACCTCCAAGACAAGCATGAAGAAAGGCTTATATCTGTTTGTTTATTCAGGGGTTCAAGATTTTCAATTCAGGGTCTTTTGAAGATCTTTCCACTACACCAGTTGATTTCTTTTGGAAATACATTGTTCTGTAGTATTGAATAGTAGTTCAATAACTAAAATGGAACTATGTTTACTTCCTAGTGAACATTTAACTAGTTAACAAGTATTTGTTGCGATCTGGAGTTTAGTGTACTTCAGAAGATAGAAGGCCTTCATAAAATTGTATTCTTTCTTTAGCGGAAGAGCTATAAAATGAATAAATTAATTCGTGCACTTTGGGCTGTTCATACTAAGTATCTCTTTCCCCAATCAGATAATTCTATCCAGTCCATGATAACTTTTGACCAAGGCGGAAGGTGGAAACTCCTGAGGAAGCCTGAAAACAGCAAGTGTGACTCGACTGCTAAAAATAAAGAGGAGGTTTGTTTGTTTAAAGAGTTTCTTTGCTCCCCTGGTGTATCACAGGCCGATCTCATCATACAGAGACTCACAGGAGACTCTGGAAATCATTATCTTTAATATCTAATTAGTTAGGATCCATAGCTTAAGATGGAGAATTTAGAGGTGAAATTACCTTAGCTGATGGAGAACAGGAACTCTGAAGAATGACTGAGGCACTTGCAATTATTCGTCTGAGAAGGCTTATTGGTCCAGTGATAGTCTGTTTCTTTTCTGAGTCTGGCTTATATCTTTCTTCCTTTAAATCTGTCTCATTTTGGGCTATAGACATGTTCAGGTGCTGGTTTACTTGAGTCAGTGCAACATACATTCTGTTCTTGTGGTGAATGGACAAGTGTGTTAGAACATTGATGACAACAAGGTCAAGTGTTCCTGGCTAGATTTCCCAAGGTTCTGTGAAATGTAAGAATATTTTGTCAAATAAGAGTAGAATAAAAGTTATTTCTCTCCTCTACCATTAGTAGCTGATGATACAGGGGAAATCAATCAATAAATATTTATTAAGCACCTATTTACTGTGTGCTTTTAAGAGTGGTAAATAGAACAAACAGTCTTAGGAAAGAAGTCTAGAAATACAACGTAGCTAACTACCTGCAGTCCCAGAAGTGGACTCTTTGGTGCTGAGAGATAAGAAAAGGAAAAGACAGACAGCTGGTTTTTGATTCTGCAGATCTGAGTGAAGTCTTTTATGACTTCATGAGATTTTTCTTCAAAAATGACCGGTTAAATGGTTTTTGTTGGGGAGTCACTAGAATTTATTGCACAGGCAGTGAAATGGTCAGACCTTCTCTTGAAGAAGATTATTTTAGCAGCTGAGCAGAGGAAGGCCTGGGGAGAGATTTGGGACAGGGAGACCAGGTGATGAGAGCCTGCACCAGGGTGATGGCAGGGTCGGGGTGAGAAGGGAGCATAGACACAGGTGAGAGATGTTGTGAAAGTAGGATTGACAGGTGTTAGCAGCATCTTGTCTATGGAGATTGAGCAGCGAAGGATGAAACTGAGGTTGTGAGCCTGAGGGACTCAGGGCTCTGTCCCTGACCATAACAGAGAAGTTAATAAGATGTAGGATTTGCAGAGGAAAGATGCTAACTGCAGTTTGGGGCATAGTGAGTGTTTATGTTTGTGGGACATCCAGTTTGAGATGTCCAGTAGACAGTTGGAGATGTGAGACTGGAGGTCAGGAAAGAGGATGGATGAGTTACCATGGTCACATAGCAGCTAGTAAATGTCTGAGACAAGAACCCAGATCTTCCTGACCCCAAGACCAGCATCATCCTGCCTTTTGTGAACTGCCTCAGGAGATTTGATTATTGCCTGGCTACAGTATTGTTGTCACTTTACATATAAGTTTTCATGTAATGCAGGAGCAAAATATAACATACCTCACCTTTAGGCCCTTAAATGGCAAATTATATGCTTCTGAATCAGGGATATTTTACTGAAGGCTAAGTTAAATTCAAAGTTTTATTGAAAGAGGTGTTGAAAAAATATTTTTTAAAAATTAAAAAAAGAAAAAGCTGTTGATACAAGATAGCCCTTTGAGCTCAAATTAAACCTAGTCTTTGGGGGTTTCTGTTTACAGTGCAGTCTTCACATCCATGCCTCCTACAGTATTTCCCAGAAGCTGAATGTTCCAATGGCACCTCTATCTGAGCCCAATGCTGTGGGTATAGTCATCGCTCATGGTAAGGAGGCAGCTACCGGTACTGGACTGAACACTCTTCTAGGTTACGTTTTTCTTCTTTTCATTGCCTTGAGAAATACAGCTCTTTAGAATGATTTTTGCCTCTGTTCAGGGGAATTTCTAGCATAGTATTTCACAGTTTGTAGAGAATCTGACTAGAGAGCACCATGCTTTTCTACCCTTACCTAACTCTTAAATCACCTACTATTCTTTCTGATCTCTTCCTTTCTGAGAAGAGATCAGATTAAATTCATTCAGAATTGCTGGCAATAGTCCCCTCTCTTTTCCCTGCTAGGATATGCTAATGAGAAGTGGTGGGTTGTGTTGCAGGTAGTGTGGGAGATGCCATCTCAGTGATGATCCCAGACGTTTACATTACCGATGATGGGGGCTACTCCTGGACAAAGATGCTAGAAGGACCTCACTATTATACCATCCTGGATTCGGGGGGCCTTATCGTGGCCATTGAGCACAGCGGCCAACCTATCAATGTGATTAAGTATGCATGAGCTCAACTCCACTCACACTGTCCCCATGCAGGGCAAATATGGGGATAGTCTCCAGTCTGGATACGGGAGGGCAGAGGAGGGTGCGGAGTAGATTAACGATAGGACTTCAGACCCTACAGGACATCAGGGAGGACTCCTTGAAGGCATTGCTGGCATATCTACTCAGAATAAAAGTCATTGCTTGTCTTCCTTTCTCATTCTGATTCCCTAAGAGTTTTTACCAGTTTTCCTTAACGTCGTTACCCTTCTGCCTCAGAATGTTGTAGAGATATTCAGACAGTCTAGATTGAAAATGACTTTTCCAAGTGCTAAGTTATGATGAAATATTTTATATTTGTTTTTGGAGCCTATCCTTACCTAAGGCCATGGCCACCCGCCCTCACCCTCACTTTCCATTGAGAGAATTTTTCTGGACCTTCTCCACTCTGCTCTTATTTGTAAATGAATCACTGAATGAACTGCCTGTTCCTCTCCCATTAACTGTGGGCAAGAAGAGTGAAGTTGGCAGACCAGCAGTTGAGCTATTTCTTCCAGTTTGGGGCCTGCCAGCCTAAGGTGGCTCCTCAGTGTTCCCCATCTATACTGGATTCTGCTGTTAACTTTTAGAACCTCTGTTGTAATTCTCAACTAATGTATGTTTAGGTTCTCCACGGATGAAGGACAGTGCTGGAACACATACACTTTTTCCAAGGAACCCATTTATTTCACTGGCCTAGCATCAGAGCCAGGAGCTAAGTCCATGAATATCAGTATCTGGGGTTTCACGGAATATTTCTTGTCCCGGAAATGGGTCTCCTACACCATCGATTTTAAAGACATCCTTGTCAGGAACTGTGAGTGTTTCCTATTCCTTCTCTGTCCAACAAGAAGCTGTGAGCCCATCTGGGCCGGGGAAGAGTGTGGGGGGTAAGGGGGGAGAATCATAAGTAACCAATGAGGGTTAGCCTCTTTTAGCAAAAGTAAGCCATTGCAGGAAAAAAGCCCCTGAAGTCTCCAAGCAGTGTTTCTCAAATCCAAGGTAGAAAACAGCTTCAAAGTGAATTGTTAGGGCATGTCAGAAGAAATTGCTTATCTTTTGGAGCTTTTCAGCGGCTTGTTTGTAGTCATTTGTGGGATTCTCACACGATTAGTTATGAGAAGAGATTTCAAACATTTCAGTCACTTTTTTAAAAAATTTTAATTAATTTATTTTGAATTATCAGCAATCACTTCCATAAGCTTTTGAGTTTTAAATTTTTCTCTCTCTCCCTCCCCAAGACGGCTATACATATACATTCCTTTTAAACGTATTTCCACATTAGTGATGTTGTAGGTAAGAATTAGAACCAATAGGAGGAACCACCAGAAAGAGGAAACAAAAATTTCAGTCGCTGGGCAGGCTCGAAGCTTCCTGGCTTAGAACCGTTTTTGGATCACTCTCCAAGGGCTGTTTTTTCAGGCAAGTGACACAGCAGGTGACAGGCCCAGAGTACGGCATCAAGAATGAACATGATCCACGAGTGACACGGATTGTTGGCAGGATATGAAACAACTGGATAGAGAGCTGGCAGCCGAGGCCCCGTTCAAGAGGATTCAGTCAAATTCTGGGCCTGACCACTTAGAAGAGGTTTTCTATCTGGTCTCTCAGAATCTTGGTTCAGTGACTGTATGGAGACAGAAGACGCTTAAGTCTGGTTGTTGCCTAAAGATTGATTTAGCGCCCATGAGTCATTCTGATCTAAATTCATTAAATAGACTGTGGGAGGTGACTTAGAAGTGTTTCCTGGAATAGATAGCTCTCCTGTTTTCCTTCAAATGTGACCATCCTACAAAGCATTTAAGTTACATTGGTGCTCAATTAGCAGTGTTCACGTACAACATGATCACACTAACCTTACACTGTCATCAGTTCATGGCCTTTGGAGTTGGTTTTCTAGCAGTGGCCATAGATTATTTTGAGCCTTGGATTGTCCCTTGCCCAATCCCCTTGTGATCTGCAGAATGATTGGCTGAGGTTAGGCTTATAGGCTGTGAAGACAGCCAAGCCCTTCCTCTGCACCCCAGCCCCTCTTGTTGGAAGCTAACTGACATATCAGTCAGGATTGAACTCACAGTCTTTGTCATATTTATACTTTGCTCTAACAACCAAGGTACCTGCCCCTGAAGTGAAAAGAGAATTAACTCCTGCACTCCGGGTGCTTACCTTACCCCACATTAGGGGCACATATGGACAGTTACAAATAAATGGAAATTCAGTGGGTTGTGAGCTCCATTTATCACATGGTTCTGTTTCAGTTCCCAAAAAGAAGCTAAGGTAGTATAGCTTCCTCCATTCCCCCTTCTGATGACTCTTGCTAAGGTATGACAGCTGCTTCACATTACAAGGTTCTGTCATGTGTTTCCTTTCCAACTCTTCTGTCCTTTCTTCAGGTGAAGAGAAGGATTATACCATATGGCTGGCTCACTCCACAGACCCTGGAGACCATGATGATGGGTGTATACTGGGCTACAAAGAAGAGTACCTGCGACTACGAAAGTCTTCAGTCTGTCATAATGGTCGAGACTACATGGTGACCAAACAGCCATCCGTCTGCACCTGCACCCTTGAGGACTTTCTCTGGTAGACAGCGTCCTTCATATTTGTCTTGTCTGCCCTTTCACCTTTTTAGCGTGTAAACTGAGGAAGGGGTTGCTTCCCCCTTGCTGTCTTTCATTTAACAGATCTATTTGTATCTGAGAAAATTTAAATATTTTTCAAATGTTTGTGTTTCTTCCCCAGAGTAGGCGAATAGCTATTTGTAGAGGAGATGCCTCATAGAGACAGGAAATGGAGAGATAGAGGAAGGAAGATGTTTCCATCATCTGAGTGAAGTTGAGGCAGGGCCAGGAACTTAACTCAGTAATTTTGGCTTCGAAAAAGTGAGAAGAGAATGAAACCAAAAATCTGTAGAAAACACCAAGAAAAATTCCCTAAGAAAGCGGGCCTCTGGCATATGTGACTCAGACAGAAGGAATTGCAGAGGCCTGACATTCAGAGGTAGAAGCCTCCCACAGAAGGGGGAGTAGTCGAGCCCCTGCTGTCAGATGGGGAGGGGAGGCAGCAGCACCTTATGAGGTGGCTCTGAAAAGCCTTTTCTTTGGGAGAGCCTCCACTTGAAGTCGTTGAAAGCTGCAGGAAATCCAGTCGTGTTGGCTCGGTCACTTTGTGTGCTAACACGGGCAGTGCCCGTGGGACTCGGGAGCGGGATTGTTTTAGGACACATGCAAGGGAGTGCCCCTTCACACACAGTAGGTGATGAACCTCCTGAGCTCAGGCCCCTGATATGGGCAGCAAGTGTGAAGAGATTCAGTAAAGGTTTGGAGGAAGAGCGACAGCCCCTGCAAAGAAAAGCAAAGCTCTCTGGGTCTTTAAAGCTGTCACTGGGAGGGCAGTTCTTTCCTCCTGTGTAGGTGCCATTGGACAGACTATGGAAATTACTGTTAACATTGGTAAAAATATTCTTCTGAAAGATTTTCTCAGAAGCCCAGAAGTTCCAGCTATGCTGTTGGAAGGGAACCATTCTTTTTTCAAAATTTTGTCATAGAAATGTGGATATGTAGCCAACATCCTGCTTTAAAATACCAGTTTTACATAGAACTCATGCTCCTTAGTGAAGATTTCCTCCTTAGCTACTTCTTTCTTGTGTGGGTACCCCTATCATAATCCAGAATTGACAGGCTCGGTCCTTGTACCTTTGTTGACCCTGTAAAATACCTTTCCAGCTCACCCTGAGGAGCTTGGCTAGGGTGGTATGTGTGTTTTATCTTGGTGCCTGACATCCATTCCAGTCTTTTCTTTTGTAGAGGCCAAATGCTTCCTTTATTTTTTGTTAAGGAAAGCGATTGCAGATCTTCTCCCAGATTCTTCTTCTAGTGAAGCAGGAATAGGGTGTTACTCTGCCCCGCTCCCCCCACCCCCCCCCACCAAAAACAACATCATGAAACTATTGACAACTGCTTCCTCCCTTCCGTAGAACTTGGGGTGGCGCTCTTATTTATTCTGTCCCTTACAGTGATTTTGGCTACTTCCGTCCAGAAAATGATTCCAAGTGTGTAGAACAACCAGAGCTGAAGGGCCATGACCTCGAGTTCTGTCTGTTTGGGAGAGAAGAGCATTTGACAACCAAAGGGTAAGGCACGTTCTGGATGGATCCAAAGCTCCACAGTTGAATGCTGGGGTTGAACCCCTGATCGTGGTCTCACTTACACTTGTTCTGACAGCCAAGTTACCTGTGGTCCATAGAACTGTTGTGAACTTTTTAGAGCTCCCTACCCCAGGAGAGACCTTCCTTCCTTCAGTTTTTCCGATATTTGTATTTTCCCCAGGGTAACAGGTCTTTGCACAGGTGGGTGAGCACCGAACATTCCAGGATTCTGGTTCTTCACGGGCTTGAAAGTGAACAGTCCAAGCCAGTGTTTCTCCTCTCATGATGCTGGAACCAAAGGATTGTGTAGGACTTTAAAACTTCAGGGTGGCTGCTAAGATTTTAACCCCCCTTTAATGAGTAAGAGCACCAATAACATGTCTTTTATTTCTTTTAGAGCTTTCTATCAGAGCTCCTCTTTTGAAATTTCAGGTACCGAAAAATTCCTGGAGACAGATGTCAAGGGGGTATGAGTCCAGACCGACAGGAAAAAGACTTGAAAAAGAAATGTACAAGCAGTTACTTGAATCCGGACAAGCAGGTACCAGTGGGATACTATCTTCTCCTGAGAAGGTCAGCTGTCCACTGGCTTGGGAGTGCCCTTTAGCCAGGCATTTTGCCCAGCAACTAAAGGACTAGATTGCATAATACATTGAACTCCCATTACAGCAGGAAAAAAGCATTGGTTGGTAAAGTCAAAGTACTGGAAGCATAGAGATTAGTAAATTTATGGAACTCATTTGGGAAGAAGGAAGGCCCAAGGACTGGGGTCATAGAGGATCGAGTTACAAGGCATAGTAAGCTGGTGAGGGCTAGCTGTAGAATGGTCTGATCTGGATTTAGGATCAACTTCCAGTGTTAATGTAGAACTGCAAATTTACAGAGGAATTTTTTGACTAAAGATTGTGGGACTGTGAGAAGGTCAGGTAATATAAAACCAGACAAGGCAGTATGGTGATTCAGAAGGCAATGGGAGGGGGTGGCAGCAGTAAGAACTATCAAAAATTTATATAGTGCAGACTGCTATCCACAGGAAAAGCTTGTTCCTGAATCACCTAATGGGTATATAGAAATGCACGCTCCCAGTCAGGTCCTGGGAAACAGGTAGGTCAGACACCAACTCTGACATTAAGAAGTTACAAAATACAGCAGACAGGGAAAAAATAAGATCAGTTCCTATTTCATACTACACAGGACATCACTGGTATTCCTGCTTCCCAAGTAGCATTGGAGGATAGCTCTAGCCTAAATAGAGAATTCTTAGCCTCAGAGATTATCTAGTTGAACTCCCTCATTTTACATGTGAAGTTATTGAGAAATTAAAAAGATTTGTCCCATGTTACATAGATTGAAAATAACACCACTAATAATAGCTGACATTTTTATAACACGGTGTGGGGGAGGGGGCATTGCAGCCATTTGTTTATTACACTGATGGGTTCTCTAGATCCTGATCTTGATAGTAGAACCATGATTCAGACTGGGGTCCTCAGTCTCGAGGGGCTCTTTCCTTGATGTTACACTGTAATGCAGTCCCAAATCCCACCCACTTCCATGTCACAGATTCTCTGACTTCACCACTTCAGGCCACTGTGCCAACAACTGGAAACTGGCAGGGGTAGTTCTTGTCTTGCTGCAGCTTGACCTGTTGTTATGGGAGTGTAACTTGCACATTGCAGCTGCTAAGTTTGTGGGGCAGTAGGGAATGTCCCTTCTGTTTAGCGCAGGTTTAGTAACTGGGAGATTACTTTACAGAAGTAAAGAGGGGAACATGCATCATTGTTTGAATTCTGCTCACAATTATGCATGACTATCAAAAGCATTTGTGTGTGTTTTTTATTTACCAAGAAGTCTTCATCAAATTCTACTCCAATTATCCTGGCCATTGTGGGACTGATGTTGATCACAATCATAGCTGGAGTTCTTATTGTAAAGAAATACGTCTGTGGGGGCAGGTAAGGACCATGGAGCAAAGAAAAGATGCTAATTCAAATGGAAAAAATAGCCAGAATATGACTTATGGGCCATGAATAACCTGAGTCCATCCTTGAAACCAACACACATAGAGTTATCTTGTTGAATCACAGCCAAATCTTTTCATGATTTGCTGAAGTATTATCAGTCAGTTATCATGATTTCAAGATCTGTTGAAGTGTTATCAGTCAATTAATCATCAAGAATTTATTAAGCACCTGTAGTGTTCTAGGCAATGTGCTAGCCAGTGGGAATATGACAACATAAATGAAACTATGCCAGCCCTCCAAGAGTTTACATTCTAAGCATCTGCAAAATAGATACAAAATCAGTCACTGTAGGGTGGACTGTGTTCCCTGTATATTTTTGGGTTGTTTTTTTTTTAAACATATGAGGCATTTGGGGTTAAGTGACTTGCCCAGAGTCACACAGCTAGTAAGTGTTATGTGTCTGAGGCAGGATTTGAACTCAGGTCCTCCTGAATCCAGGGCCGGCGCTCTCTCCACTGCACCACCTAGCTGCCCCGTTCCCTGTGTGTTTGACCCATTTCTCTTCAGGTCCGTGAACACTTAAGAAATCGAGGTTGACAGGAGTTTTTTGTTTGCAGGTTTTTGGTGCATAGATATTCCATTCTACAGCAGCATGCAGAAGCAAATGGTATTGATGGAGTAGATGCTTTAGACACAGTCTCCCCTAACAATAAAAGTGGCTACCATGATGACTCGGATGAGGTAAGGCCGTCTCCTGCTTACCTAACTGACGGGGTCATGGGAGAGATGGGCCAAAGCAGAGCCAGAGTGGCTACCAAAACACCAAACGTGGCCCTTGCTCTCCTGTTCAGTGGTGGTATAAGCCAGAAAGTGCATAGGGGTTGCAAGATTTGGTGAACCCAGGAAGTGAATGACTGGTCTTAAGACATGAAGTCTTGGTTTCTCTTTTCCCTCAGGACCTCCTTGAATAGTCATTTGAAGGAGTTGGGACAGACAGGCTCAAGTGCTGGTGATGAATCTGCATTGCTTCTCATGACGCCTGTTTCTCTGATCTGGGGAACGTCTTTCCCAATATGAGGAGCCCAGCTCCAATTTTTGCTGCTTCCATCCAGACCCAAAGGATCCTCACAACAGAAATGCAAGATGGGGATGGGAAGCCCCTAAAACTCTTCAGGATTCAATGCCTCTGAGAAGAGAAGAAGCTCTTAAATGATTTCTCTTTATTTTAATTTGTCCTTCTGCTAAGTGTGGTAGGGATTTAAAAAAAAAAGGGAAATGAAATGGAATTTGAAGGGAACGTTTCACTAATGCTATTATTGCTGTATTTTTACATGGCGCCTACCTCAGGGTGGCTGCCAGCTCTAGCATAAACTCTCACATTGTGCTCCCTGCCGTCACTGAGCTTTTACATGAAGCAGCTGCAAGAATGAGGATGGAGGCGGCAAAGACTGACGTAGGCCTGATGGGTTTTCTCCATCTGGGGACAATGCTGATCCAGGAACATCAGGGACTAGCCCAGCACACAACTTCCCCCGGTATTTTACAGGGGCCATAGACCACAGTGGTTTTTGTTTCCCCCATTTTCATCAGGCAATACCCTTATTTGTTGCCCTCTGAGTTTAAACTGAGCCATGAGCTTCTGAAGTACTAAATCAGGAAAACTTAAAGGGGGATATTCTTAACTGGTGGGGAGGGCAGGGAGGGGGGAGAATAGAGGGGAATTTATTAGATTTAGAATCAAGTACAGAAGAAATGATTGCCCCTTTTGAGGCATTTGTCAGACATGCTTTGTGTATATGTGTGCTGATGGACTTGCTGCAAAGTATGTACTTGATATGGATGCTTGACTAGGTTAAATGATTTCTTCAAGAGCTAATGTTTTGAGTGAGCCGTGCAGCCTCTATAGGGCTAGGCATTGCTGTATTCCATTTCTTTCATTTTTTGGCCCTTTGGTACCTCACTGAACCATTCAGTTGAATTATAAAAACAGACGCCTATTTTTGCTTCTTTCAAGTTGCTGTTCTCTATCCATCAAGTTAGGACCACGATTTTCAAACTTACAGGCTATTTTTTTAAAATGAATTTTATTCCTGGATTGCCTTCGTCATCTCTGCTCCCTGTTCTGCCAAGCAGTTTGTTAGCTCAAAGGTTTGGCTTTAACCTTGCCCATCTGGAGCCATGCTGCTTGGAAAACATCTTCCACCCTAGATGACAGAAGCTTTATGTTACATTTAAAAATTGGGAGAGCAGGGGTACCCTTCATTTGACATTTTTTCCATACTAAATGAATTATGGAATTAGGGATGGATTTTTTTTCTCATGTAGTAAAGTTGCAATCATTAGTTATGCTATAGCTTAAATATTTGCTGCACATGATACAGTATAATAAGTTCAGTTTATGTATACTGTGCCGGTCACAGTTTCTCAGTTTCCTCATTTTCCCCAGTAACCATGATTTGGGACTTTTCTGTCCTTAGGAGCTGCTGTTTCACTGCTAGGTCAGATTGTGGTTAGGAAGTCAGTAAAGATTAAATGTGCCAAATTAACTATTGTTGACATGCATGAACAGATGGCTAAGTTTCTCATCACCGGCATGCATTAACAACAGCAGGGAAAGTAGGGAAGAAAAAATCTAGAGACTTTGCAACTGCAGTAAATTAAATGAGTCAGGATTGCTTAGGGAAAAGATGAGACAAAAAGTTACCAGCTTTTATAAAGGGAGCTAGCATATGTTAAGGCTAGAGAGCACCAGGCTTTTAGAATGAAAAGGGTTTTTAAATAATTTTAACTCTTAAATCATTCCAAAAATATACCAGATCCCAGTTTACAATATTTTCAGCAGTTCATCTCCTTCCTTCCTTCTGCTCAAAACTGATGCTCAGAAAAGACTTATTTATATCACATCCCCCCATCTCCTTATTATATATTAAGTTAGGAACTGGCACTGTCTTCCCTTTAGTGGAAATGTTAGAAAATAATGCACAGAATAATTAGAACAAATACATGTGATAGAAAAGTTAATATTTTTACTAGACTACTGCCCAAATGTAAGCATTTTCATATGCAAAGCACTTCTGAGTATATTCACATTTCAGACTCCGTACTCCCAGAATATGTAGGCCTGGGATTATCCCCATTTTGCAGGTGGTAAAATTGAGACACAGAGGAGTGACCTGCCCAAGGTTACACAGCTGTTTGGGGCAGAACTTGTTGCAGCCATCTTAAGACAACCTTGGTCATTTTACTTCATATAGTCCTATCCTGAAACCTTGTTTTATCTTTAGCTTTAGATGACAAACGCCAGGTCTCCAGAAAAGGGCTTGATCGTATTTCTTTTTATGCCTGTGGGTAGAGGATAACCCAGTGATCCATCCCTCAATTTCCTTCTCCCATTCTGTTTCTCTTAACTGTTTAGCCCAGTTGGTCAGAGAACAATATTAGTGAAACCTAGCTCATGGGTGTATTTCCTGTATGGACTGTTTCACTGCTGTTCTGTAGTTCCAAACTTCCAGCCCCTTTCAGTGCTCTTCGATAGATGTAGATCCTTTACGTTAGCAGAATTCTATTACGGCTTCTAGAACAAAAAGGAACTTAAAACTTATAACCTCCTGATGCTGGATCAGTAGCATTATTTTCCCTCCTGGACATTGTGGTAGCAGGAGTTGTGGTTTCTGGAACTTTCATTAGTAGCGTTTATTGAAGTAAAGATATGCTGGAAGTACGTAGGACCCAACCCCAAGATAAACTGAGCCCTTTGGTCTTGGTGGAAAAGTTGCCCTCCCCCAAGAACTGAAAGCATCGTACACTTTAAGGAGGCATGTGAGGCCAAGTGCTTTGGTTCCCATATCCTGGGGCCAGTACGTGGATACATGGGAGATGGGTTGAGGTTCAACTATGTTAGTAAAGATTTTGGTAGAATGAAGCACCTTGAAAAGAGTTCTGGCAGCCTTATTGTCTTCCATGAGCCCTCCTCGTCTCCTAGGTGGCCCCAAAAAATGTTTTTGGTCAGCTGGAGCTTTTATAACTATTCCATGTAACTTTGATTTACCTCCAGATTCCCTAATCTTCCTAAGTTGGTCTCTCCATCCAGTGACGGGGGTGAACTAGAGACTTTGTGTAGGTAAGAAAGTGCTGCCCCATCCTGCTGTAGATGCTAGTCTATAAACTGTGATTTGTTCTCCAGTAACTTTGAAAGAGTGCAGGAAGCCTCACTGCTTCCCACTCAACCTACTGACAGGCTGGACTAGCCTGGGCCCAGACAGGGGGAGAGAGCAGCTGTCTCCTGTCATGAGAACCTGACAAAGCAATAAAGCAGGTTGCTTGAGCAAATCTGTGAAACACCAGCACCTCCCTTCTTCAGTCAAGCAAGTGAACACATGCTTTAGCATCTTTCGAACAGAACCAAAGTTAAGATTTGCTGTGTCTGTCAGCACTTCCGTGGCTCACAGTCCCATCCTGCCACTGTCTCACCCACATCCAGCCAGCTTGACAAGGAGTGCTGCCCTGTCATAGTCAATTGATAGCCATACCTACCAGTGCTCCAGGGCTTTCTTCCCCATGGAGGATGACTGTCATAACAGGATCTTGATTTCTCTTAAGTTACAATGAAACCATCAGAATTGAAATACTAACTTGGAATTATCCACAACAGCCTTCTATGTGCGTTTTTTCAAACTGGTACATTCTTAATGGTCCTTGTTTATACATAGGTCATAAAGCTAATCTGTACCTTTTATATATATGTATATATACACATAAATGTGTGTGTGTATATATATGTGTGTGTATATATATACACATATAAAAAACTGTATATTCTACATAATGATTTATTGATATGCCCCAGAATTTTAATGAAACTTCTATCCTCAGTTTTCTGTCTGACAACATGAACAAACTCCCTGGAAATTCAGTTCACTTACCTTCTTTGGAAAGTCTAGGAGGACGACTGTTTAGTTAGACTCCTCTTTTGTTCTAGTGGACAGAAATGATGAGAGTCTCCCTGTGTCTGATGCCTGTACCTGTTCCTTGTCCCTTCCTAAGCAAATGGTCCTAGTGCTTCCCCAGCTGAGAAGCAGCTGCTTTCCCCCTAAGGCAGAAGGCAGAAGATATTGTCACTGCATGTACTCCAGTACTCATTTTCTCTTCTCTTGATGGAGCCAATTGCATGTAGGGCAGGAAAATTATGTTCCAGTAACCCATGTCAGTTATGCAATAAAGCCATTATACACACACACACACCCCCCCAACTCTCTTCCATATTTAGTATCTCCCAAGAAAGGGTCAAAAAGATTGAAATGAGACTCAAATTCCTTTAGCATTATGTAAATAAATCTGGATGTGTTTAACTTTGTACTGGTATTTTTCTGTATATTTGCAATATTTGGCTTAGAAATAAAACAGAATGGACTTTGTGTTACCCAATCTATTGAGACGACTGAGCTATGGTTTGTTAAGATGATTGTTTTTCTAGTTTTCTCATCTTCAAAAAAATTTTTAAAAACTGGCAGCCAGAGGGGAGGTTAACCAACGGAATCAGATCAGTGCAATCATAGATTTGTCTCAGGTGAAATATGGGAATAGGCACATTCAGGGATTCCTTGGCTCTGGCCTGGTGGCTTTGGATGGTGTGTATAGAAGCTTCCTTTAGCATTTTGTTGATGTCTCCATGCCAGGCCCTATTCCCAGGCAGGCTGAGTCCAGCTGCTGTCCTATTCCACCCACGAGGCTGCCTGCATTTCATCCACTACTGAATACTCCTCTTGGAGTTCCAAATGATGTTCTCCCTTCCAAGGGATAAAGTTACTACTAGCTGCTTCTTGTCCCAAAAATAATGATTAGACATGCCTCGAGTATGAGTGCTGATCTTGGGCCAAACTGAGGTGAATATGATAGGACTACGGCAGGGGTGGGGAACCTGCCCTTGAGGCCACGTATGGCCTTCTAGATCCTTGGGTGAGGGCTTTTGACTGAGGCCAAGCTTTACATAACAAATCCTTTTATTAAGGGGATTTGTTCTGTTGGATTCAGTCAAAGGGCCACACTTGAGAACCTAGAGGGCCACATGTGGCCTCGAGGCCAGAGGTTCCTCATACCTGGTCTAGGGCTTTGGTGCCTTCATCCTTTTCCCACAGTGCCTAACTTCTTCCACTAACTTCCATTAACTTTGTCAGCTGAGGTTGATTGACACATGTTTGCATTTTTAATGAGACCCTTGAAGACCTAAAGGAACAAATCCCTAGAGGTAGAATTCAGTATGAAGGGAAAAGATTTTTATGGCAGAGGGCCCTAGCCAGTTTATATAGCATATTTTGCCAGTACGTGACTTTTCTCTTGCAGATTAGCTGCACCTTCCTAGGATTCTACACCCGAAGTCATGTTGGGCCTTCTGCTCTTTACCCACCCACCCTTTCATCATTTTGTCCAAATGAGCTGTTTAAGGTATGACTAGAAAGGAAGTAGGTGGTGAAGGAAATCATGAACAGAGAAAGGCTGGGGCTGTGATTACTTGTCTAAAGCCATTCTCTTAGCTGATTTGCTGTTGGCAACCTTCACTGGAGTCTAGCAGCTACTGCAACCTCGTAACTTTAGTATAGAATCCCTCTAATGTTGGAGTTAAGGGATGGTAGAAAAGAACTTGGAAACCGAAGTTCAAGGGAGTTCAATGTATAGACTGGTATTTTAGACACCAGGCCAAAATGTAAATGTTGGAACCACCTGACTTATCTTTAGCTAAGAAAAGGGAATCCCAAATAGCCCCTGCTGACAAATTCCACAAGGAATTTGCTCTCCAAAGAAGGCTACCCTTGGGTAGTAGTCAGGAAGTGGAAACAATTCGATGCCAGCCCCACAGTGTAATAAAGAGTTAAGGCAACCTGGCACCGGTGTTTTTATGGTAGGAGCTGAAGCCATAGGGAACTTGTGTTCCAGAAAATGATGTCTGGATTTTGTGTTCCCAAGGCCATGAGTGGTCACTACCATCCCTCAGGAGCCTAGACAGTGTCAGGTGAGACCCTCATTTTCTTAGTGCCTAATATGTAGCATTGCATTCCTACCTAGCCAGCCCAGAGACCACAGATGCTTATAATTTGTTCTCACTAGACGTGACACACCCAGTTCCAAAACATCCAAAAGAAGCTGGCATCACAATGCCTACCCAGCATAGAGGCCACTGTGCCCAGTTTACAGAGATAGCCCTAGTCTTGGGCCACGTATCACTCAAGGCTCTTTGCATCTTAGCCAGTGCGTTAATTGGTGGAGAGTGGGGTGAAGGTAAGAAGTCTTAGGATAAAACAATAGGTTTAACTTCATCCCTTAACATCCATTAACATATCTGAGTATGTATAAAGCATTGTGCTATGGATACTGCTGTCTGGTATGGAGATAAAAGGTACATAAGTAGAATACAAAATGGTTATAATAAACAGCAAGATACAAAATGCCATAGGAATTCACAGCACAGGAAAGAAGTTGAATTCTGGGAAGTCTTCATAGAGATGGTAGTATTCAAATTGAGTCACAAAGTCAGATTTCAACAGAAATAGGGATTTGAGAGGGGGTAGGTTGGGTGATATTCTGAGCAAAAGCAAAGACAAAAGTGTAAAGGAAGGGGAAGAGAATAGGAAGCAATATAGAGAATAGCTGAAGATACTACTGGAAAGGAAAATTGAGACCTGATCATAAGCCTTGTGTGCTATCTTTAGGAGTTTAGATTTTAGTAAGCAACAGGGAGCCAAGTAGTGGAGGCCTGAACTGTATCCAATGGTGACAGCGGGCATGGGAGGAGACAGATGCATCTTATTGGATTGGGAGGCTGCAGGATGGTGAAGAAAAAGGGGGTCAAAAAGTACTCGTGTCTTAAGGCTGAGTACGAAGGGCTAGTCATGACAGATCTGCTAAGGGGAACTGTCATTTTCAAAACTTCTTCCCCTCCTCTCCCCAATCTAATCAGTAGCCAAGTAGTGTGGATTCTAGAGTTCCATTAGTATGGTCTAGGTGATAGATGTGGGCCATCTCCTGAAAAGGTCTCTGAAAAGGTTGAAGAGTGTCACCGTTTGTACCAGGGACCAGGCAGTGATGAACATCCAATGTCCCTCCCCTTGGAACTATTGTATCTGCTCTTTGATCTCCCTCTCTTCCCCAAAGCCCCCACCTCAGCCTTGCAGCTGGAAATGGGTAAGTGGAAAACAGGACAGCCCAAGACTAACCAAGTGGCTGAACCTATCAGCCTAGAGACGAAAGTGCTCAGTTTCTCCCGACCAGAGGTCGTGAAGAATCTGGAACTGAATCCCAGCCCACCTACCTTCATGATGAATAAGACTACCGTAGGAAATTGTAGCACAGAAGCAGGTCCAGGACCAGCACTGAGGGTGGAAGAAGTCAGCCTGGACCAAGCTGATTTTACTCAGACTGTCATCCCTGGGATTGGTCAGCCATCAACGCCTGTGCCTCCTAAAGAAGATGAAGAGCGTGAGTACTTTGTCTAGTGCTGGGGAGATCCAGACACCTACACCTACACCTACACACACACACACACACACACACGAGGATCCCTGCTGGCTTTGTCCTAATTTAGTATTTGTAAAGGGAGCATTCATCGAAGCTACTTTTCCGTCATGTTCCTAGAAGGATTCTTGCTGCTGAAGTATGATTTGTTTTGGTGTATTTGTGTTTGTGTATTGCTTTTGGTTGAGAAGTCAGTGTAGTATATTTGCACATTAATTTATAGCAGTTTAAAATTCTATTTCTTTGTACATTTACTTTCCTCCATACTTTGTTTAAAGGTAGAGGTTCTAGCGAAGGAAGTGGAGGAGGGAGAAGTAAAATCTGATTTAGCAATTACCTCCATACTTCTTGTCTTCTCCCCTGACAGCCAATAATTAATTGTAGAGGAAAGTGGAAAACAGAAGTTTGTGATAATTGGAAATTGTGTAGCAAGGGAGATCCTAGTGAGAAAATAGGCAATAGATAAATGGCAACAGGCCAAGTGACCATAATGATAATATGCTTTCTCTCCCCATGACCATCTTGAACTTCCAGACGTTAGGGAATACATCTGTCACCCCAGAGGGGTTACTGTAGTTTGAGCCCAAGCAGAGATAAAGAAGGGAAGCATTCAGAAACAGCCAAGCCTCTTGGCATTTTAGGGACAACCCTATCCAAAAGAGGAGGTTTCGGTTGGGGGCCAGGGTGTTACTCTCAAGTTTGACCTCCTGTAGGTTTCTAGTAGAAAGAACTAAAGGAGATGGGATATTGAAATAGGCCATGGTGGCTGTCTCCAACACCCTGGTTCTCTGTTCTTGGACCTCCCACGCCTGTCATCCCCCCCAACCCCACGCACTTGGCTGTGGAGTCTGTGACTCACAGCTCCGTGTCACCGATCTGGGAGGCTCCTGAGAATCTAAGTCCTTCAGGCTGGGTAGCTACATGCTTGAGTGCTGCTGAGATAAAGTTAAGATTCCTATTTGCTCAGACACAGGGAAGAGGGGAAGAGGAAATCTGGGGCTCCATAAGGAGTCACAGAGGAATGAGGTGCCTCTAAAACCCGAATCCTGCACACCAGTGGGAAGGTGTTTCCTGTTCTTACACCTGGTCAGTTCACTTGTTTGCAGCGACTTAAAGGTTGAGCTAAAGCCTCCTTCCTTGAAGGGGTGGGTTAACTACCTTTCCTTTAGCCCTTGGTAATGGGCTTCCCAAATCTTGGCATGTAGGAATCAGCAAAATATCCCCAATACCTGCCACATCATACCCAGTTTTGTGTGGCATTATGACGAGTGTAGGGTTTGCTTCCCTACTATGAGAAGAAGCCCCATAGGCAGTTCCTACCTTACAGAGGCTCAGAGTTCTGAAACAAAAAATGGGAGACGTCAATAGGTAAATAAACCGGCAATAAGGTATTTACATCCTCTAGAGGTCAGGGATTAGCTGGAGAGCTCCAGACAGGATAGAGAGGAAGAAAGAAAAGCTCTCAGCCTGATAACCTAGCAAGGGTTTGTGAGAGAAGGAGAATTTCAAGTTATTTGAATGAGTATGGAAAGTATCATGGATTTGCCCCATAATGAGGGGAAAGAGCAAATGGTTCTGCACATTCATTTAACAAATGTTTATTAAGTGTATCAATTAAACTTATATTGTGTGCAAACTACTCACTGTGCTGGTAGCTGAGAATGGAAAGATGACTATGAGGTGGTAGGGGAGGGTAAGATGTATACAAATAACTGTAATACAAAGTGGAATGTGGTAAGGCTGTTAAAGAGGTACAAAAAGTGCTGTACGAGTTTAGAGGATAGAGAGCTAGCTTCTGGTGGTTGGGATCCAGGAAGTCTTCATATAGGAAGGCACTGGACGTGGCCTATCTCAATATCCCTCCTCCCTTTAGTTGTCTGTACTGAGGACCTTCAGCAGAACAAGCTTGAAGGGAACCA